TAATGATATAACCTAATTATAAGCTTCATCACAACTAGAATATAATGATATAACCTAATTATAAGCTTCATCACAACTAGAATATAATAATATAACCTTCATCACAACTTGAATATAATAATATAACCTTCATCACAACTTGAATATAATGATATAACCTAATTATAAGCTTCATCACAACTAGAATATAATAATATAACCTTCATCACAACTTGAATATAATGATATAACCTAATTATAAGCTTCATCACAACTAGAATATAATAATATAACCTTCATCACAACTTGAATATAATGATATAACCTAATTATAACCTTCATCACAATTAGAATATAATAATATAACCTTCATCACAACTAGAATATAATAATATAACATTCATCACAACTAGAATATAATGATATAACCTAATTATAAGCTTCATCACAACTAGAATATAATAATATAACCTTCATCACAACTTGAATATAATGATATAACCTAATTAAAACCTTCATCACAACTAGAATACAATAATATAACCTTCATCACAACTTGAATATAATGATATAACCTAATTATAACCTTCATCACAATTAGAATAAAATCGTGATACTGCCAATCTTGTATTAAGCATGAGTTTAATTTATTGAATTAAGAACAATTGACTGCTTATTGGAGGTTGACATGTGTTGACGGTCAAAAAATTTGAAGGTGTTGGCTGCGTCAAGAAGGTGGTGCATAATAGTAATTAATAGAGGTAAATTTTGTTGAAAATTACAATAGTTTTTGGTGACTGTTCATTGGAGGGTGGTTCTGAATACAAGTTACTGTTATTACAAGTTTGACTGTACATGGAAAATATTGTGATATGCAGTAAAAAGAAAACATTGGTAAGAATGACAGACTTTCAAGTCCAAGGCAGTTTATTAACTCATTTTGTCTTCTAATACAAAAACTATTAGTGACTATGTATTTCCACTAGCAGAATTCAACTAAAAATATTACTGTAGTCAAAATAAACAGAACTTACATGCATTTGACACCATTTTTAGATGTTTTAGATTCAACACATTTACCAATTATACAGAGATTGTGACATCTATCTATTTCACATCGTTCACCATCAAATAACGGAGGGCAGCTGAAAATAAACGTAAGAGATATTAATGTTTTTATTTTCTGCACCTAATTCAGCTTATGAAGACAGGCCATGCTGTAAGCAATGGAGGAAATTTAGCCTGGACAGAAAGGGAGTTTTAAATCTTTTTTTTGTTAGGTAATTGAGCTAATGAAGATGGGCATAAATCTACTCTTTGTCAATATTCAACTGTGTAGGGATCTTTAACATACACAGCCAGTAACCTTGATTTACCATCCCATTGAAACAACTTGATTCAACATCTGAGCTGCATCGCTGACAGGGGAAAACCAGGTTGAAAAATCTGAAGGCAATATCTCAATCTATGCCAGAATTAAAAATATAGATTCAGATTTTTTCACATGATTGTATAAATTATAACAAATTATTTCTTCAACTTGTCATAAACAACAACTTACTCGCACTTCAATTTATTATGGACATTCTTGGAACAGGTTCCGTTATTGTGACAATATCCTGGTTGACACGTGTCCTTTTCTTTCTGGAAGCTACATTTCTTGTCTTCTAATTCTGAGTTATCTGGACATTTACAGCTATGTCCTTTCTCTGACCAATCATTAAAACACATCTGTGTTTCAACACATGTATTAGCTGTTACACATGAATCATTGACTAAAATAGACATAATGAAAATTCATTTTAAGCACTTCAGGAAATTTGTTGAAAGTATAATTTATTCTCATTTTTGTTTTCTAATTAAAGGGATAATGAAAAAGTTTTCTAAACTTGGGGACACTGATAGCATTGATTTGCACTATTCCTGGTTCATGAAATTCCAATAAAACTAAGTGTTTTATGACAGCGCTATCATAAAAGATCCTAATATTATCTACAGGCCTTTGTGATAGTGACTTCATAAAATTCTGAGTTTTAGTGGAATTCTAAGAACCACAGATATCTGACTGAAATTTGAATGAAATCAGTGTCCCCAATATCATACAACAATTCTATAATTACAGGAATCACAGACATCTGATGTAAAGATTGGAATGATGGAACTAAAAGCTATAAATGGCCATGATAAAAAATGCTGGAAAATTTCTTATAGCCTATTAGAATACTGAAATGTAAAGTTTCTGTGAAGCCATACTAACATTTCTTCTGTTTGTTTTCCTGTAAAATGACCACAGCTTGTATTTTATCAGAACTTTCATACATCTTCTTCAAAACTTGATCCGGTTTCCCAAACTTGTGCATCCTCAACACATCAAAATTCTTGTAGGTTAAAACATAAATAAAATTCTCAAAAACTTCTAGTTTATATGGTGGATCAGAGGCTGAAATATATCAAATCACAGAATTTTCAGAATTCATAACAAAGAAACTATAACTATTTCTTTGCAGGATAACAACTTGAGGTTCACACAAGGATCTACCAGTTGCTCCTTGGTCAAACTTATTTCTGACAAAAAAAAAACATTTTTGCAATAATTACAGCATGGCTTTCTGAGAACCAGCTGTCTTAACATTCATCTCTCCAGTACCTCTTTACAGCTGGGTCGTGTGGAATAATGAGGGAAGAATTTCATACACCAACCAAAACTAGAACCAACAACCACCATTTTTTTTGACATAGCCTCCCCACAATGTTAGTTTCTGTTACTGTTCTGGACATGTCTATCCATTGAAAATCTGACTGGGAAAATTCTCACTTACCATTTAATTTATGTATGACTCTTCGATCATCACCATTTAAATCAACACTTTCTATGGTGTATTTCTTCGTATCAGCCCAATATAATCTTTCATTATAATAATCCACGGCCAGTCCATTCGGCCAGGAGAGGTCCTCACTGACTATAACTGTTCTGTTACTACCATCTAAATTAGATCTTTCTATTCTAGGTCTTAATCCTAAATCAGACCAGAATAATTGTCTACAAAATAACAAAATATAACATTAGTGAATTTCTCAATCAAATTATCAGATTTCAGTATATCCAAATCTGAATCAAAATATAAACACAAACAGTTCATTTTATTGTCAGGTATTTTTAAGTTATAATCAATCTAAGTTCTACTTGTCCAACTTCAGTTGTGATGCAGGCTGAAAGTAGGTTGTCTGAAGATCACTACTTGTCAAACTTTAGTAGGGATGCAGGCTGATATAAATCAGTTGTCTGAAGATCACTACTTGCCCAACTTTAGTAGGGATGCAGGCTGATATAAATCAGTTGTCTGAAGATCACTACTTGTCAAACTTTAGTAGGGATGCAGGCTGATATAAATCAGTTGTCTGAAGATCACTACTTGCCCAACTTTAGTAGGGATGCAGGCTGATATAAATCAGTTGTCTGAAGATCACTACTTGCCCAACTTTAGTAGGGATGCAGGCTGATATAAATCAGTTGTCTGAAGATCACTACTTGCCCAACATTAGTAGGGATGCAGGCTGATATAAATCAGTTGTCTGAAGATCACTACTTGCCCAACTTTAGTAGGGATGCAGGCTGATATAAATCAGTTGTCTGAAGATCACTACTTGCCCAACTTTAGTAGGGATGCAGGCTGATATAAATCAGTTGTCTGAAGATCACTACTTGCCCAACTTTAGTAGGGATGCAGGCTGATATAAAAATCAGTTGTCTGAAGATCACTACTTGCCCAACTTTAGTAGGGATGCAGGCTGATATAAATCAGTTGTCTGAAGATCACTACTTGTCAAACTTTAGTAGGGATGCAGGCTGATATAAATCAGTTGTCTGAAGATCACTACTTGCCCAACTTTAGTAGGGATGCAGGCTGATATAAATCAGTTGTCTGAAGATCACTACTTGTCAAACTTTAGTAGGGATGCAGGCTGATATAAATCAGTTGTCTGAAGATCACTACTTGTCAAACTTTAGTAGGATGCAGGCTGATATAAATCAGTTGTCTGAAGATCACTACTTGTCAAACTTTAGTAGGGATGCAGGCTGATATAAATCAGTTGTATTAAGATCACTACTTGCCCAACTTTAGTAGGGATGCAGGCTGATATAAATCAGTTGTCTGAAGATCACTACTTGTCAAACTTTAGTAGGGATGCAGGCTGATATAAATCAGTTGTCTGAAGATCACTACTTGCCCAACTTTAGTAGGGATGCAGGCTGATATAAATCAGTTGTCTGAAGATCACTACTTGTCAAACTTTAGTAGGGATGCAGGCTGATATAAATCAGTTGTCTGAAGATCACTACTTGCCCAACTTTAGTAGGGATGCAGGCTGATATAAATCAGTTGTCTGAAGATCACTACTTGCCCAACTTTAGTAGGGATGCAGGCTGATATAAATCAGTTGTCTGAAGATCACTACTTGCCCAACTTTAGTAGGGATGCAGGCTGATATAAATCAGTTGTCTGAAGATCACTACTTGTCAAACTTTAGTAGGGATGCAGGCTGATATAAATCAGTTGTCTGAAGATCACTACTTGCCCAACTTTAGTAGGGATGCAGGCTGATATAAATCAGTTGTCTGAAGATCACTACTTGTCCAACTTCAGTAGGGACACAGACTGAAAATAGGTCAGTTGTCGGTAGATCACTACTTGTCAAACTTTAGTAGGGATGCAGGCTGAAAGTAGGTCAGTTGTCTGAAGATCACTACTTGTCAAACTTTAGTAGGGATGCAGGCTGAAAGTAGGTCAGTTGTCTGAAGATCACATAGCGTGAAACTCTGATTAACATCAACATGTTTGTTTAATATTTCTAATAATCAACCTATGTAATATGACAAGAAATAAATCCAGACCAGCCTCATTTCCTTGATCTCTTAAAAACGCCACTATAAACTTGTTTTAACTTGTTCTTGTTGGTAAAATTATAACTTACTTGTCTTTAGGATGAACAACAATATCTTGTGGATCCTCTAAATTATCCTTAACAATAGTATTAGCTTGTTTACCATCATATTGAGCTACTTTAATAGAATGAGTTGTTCCTTCTGTCCAGTATATATGTTCCCCAATCCAATCAGCCGTCAAACCTCGAATATCAGCAAAACTTGTAAACAGAATCTATAATAGAAAAAAGGAATTGTTACATCATCTAAGATAATGAAAAGAATCTAAAAACATCAGAAATGAAATGAAGTCCAACTTTTCTGCATCTGATTGGGCTAATAAAAACTATGCATTGTGCAATGAGGGAAAGTTTGCCACAACAGCGACATTGGCCTTCTCTTTCTTGATATCTAACTGTCAGCCCCTCTCACCTTCATCACTGGGGAAAGTGGGTTGAAAACTCCAGTCAAATACGAATATTATTCCAAAAACATAATATCCTAACCACACTAAGGAAATACTTACATTGCTAGTGTCTCTTTTAGGTCTCTTGCCATTAGGTTTAAAAGTTATTTGACCTTTTGGTATCTTCATTGAGTTGACAATCCAAGTATGATTTTTAGATAACACTACAGTGAACGCCAACCAGTCTTTTCTAGATACATCTACATCCATGGCAACTATATGGTTACTAATTTGTGGCTGCAATTATAATCAAATCTATATCATCTACTGAGTGTTCTGATAAAAATCATCATTTGTTACCATGGTTAGATCTAATAACTTCACGTAAAGTGTTATATCCTGTCTTTCTGCAGCAGCATTAGTCTTCTCTTTCTTTATTTCCAACTGCGAGGGATTTTTAACTTGTACAGTCTGTAGAACATGTGGCCTTTGTTTATTAACTTGTCAGTCTCTCAGGACTGAATCATGGACAGGGAAGGAAAATCTGAAGATATCATTTTGACCCGTGCTGAGATCAGTCCATAGATAGTGAGCCACAATGGATGTGAACAAACAGATAATATATCTGTGCATAATAAACAATATCTATTAAAGCCTGAATAAATAATCAAACCTGTGTATTAAGGACGGTCAGTTTAGAAGTGTTTAACTGTAATGGTGTACTAATAACTTTTCCCTCTTCAGCTATCAATAAATTTGGTGGTTGACCTGAAAATTGATAAATATGATTAAAATGAAAGGAATGAATTCAACAAGATATTTATAGAGGCTATTCAAAAGGTCATTACTTTCACATAATTGCTAATAATAGACTCTCAGATCTATTTTGAAGTCGAGTGATTGGCAAAATACAATGTGGTGGGAAGTTGATAAAAAAAAGAAAAGTTTTGCCACTTACCATCAGCAATACATGAAGAATTGGCAACAGCAATAAAACCTTTATCACAGGAACATTTAGGTTTGAAATCATTGGACTCACAGAGCTGAGAGCAGACACCAAATTCTTTACATGGGTTGAATCCTGGAAGTAATTATTTAAATATTGAAATGAGATGGTGTGAACTTAAAAAATGCTGGGTTGCAATAATGGGGAAAGGTGACATATTTAAGATCATTAGACTTTCACACACCAACTAAGATTAAAAACTGTGCCTACCATTTGTTTAACATAACAAAGACCCATCTAACTACAGCACTTTCTCTAACAGCTTTGTAACATTTTCAACAAAAAAAATACGTTTCGACTTTTTTGCACTTTTTCCATGGCCAATAAAGACAGAGAACACTATGAAGTGTGCAATAATGGAAATATTACCAGGATATACTTACTCATACAATGTGTACCATCTTTACGTAATCTGTACCCATCATTACAAGAACAAACTACTCTACTGTAGATTTCTTCACAATTCTGTTCACAACCACCATTACGAATAGCACACGTTGTGGTGTCTACAAAATCAAGTTTAACAGTTACCCAGGATTCTAAAACAGGTGTTATATTCTGATCAAGTATTAAATGTTATATAACTTTATTATATACAAAACAAAAATCAAATTAAAATGTTATAAGTCTATCAAAACAGTTCAGTTTCAAAACTAGGCTGGAATACTCAATATGATCACTCAATATTATCATGTCTGTGTTTGCCAACTGGAAGCACATTATCTACTGTGAACGACATTTCTCAAGAGTGAGAAAGGGTGCACATTTTACATACACACCGAATTCACAATTATAAGATAGAGGCTGAGTTACTTACTGCAAAATTTCTCCAGTTCATCAGAACCATCTTTACAATCAGGATGGTTGTCACAAACTTTGTGGGCACTAATACACTGATTAGTAGCGTTACCCTTGATAGAATGACATCTAAAATCACCAGGTTTACATGACTGATCACCACCTATAATAACAGATAGAAATCATTAATCATAGTGCTATTTTGTATCATAAATTCTATTCTTTTTTTCTGTCTAATTCTAATTCTATGTCCACCTAATTTTGTTCGTGGCACATTTAAAATCTAACCCTCTATTCCATTTTAGTGATTTTAAAGACCAGAACTGACTAAAAGCTCACCACAATGAATCCATGTTAAAAATTGTGTCAACTTACAGAGTGTGGTATTTTCATCTTCACCATGTTTACAATCTAGTTTACCATCACAGACCATATTGTTCCAGATACAGATATGATCTTGTCGACATCGGAATCGTCCAGGTGTACACGTATAGTTTTCTACAGAGAAATAAAAAAAAATACATCCATATGTGTTCAAACATAACAGCATATACTACAGAAATAACAACAAATATAGAAAGAGACAAAAAAACGTCATGTGGACGTATCTCGTATATCTTTATTTTCAATGCTTTAAGAAGTAAGTAAAGACAGTATTAAATAGGTTTTAAGGTAAGAAAAAGAAACAGTAGAATGTGAAATGAGTTTATTGATCATAGTAAAGTAAGATCAGAGTTTTCAGAAGTAAAGTTTCATTATTGAAATCCCGATATTTAGAAAAAAGTAATCTGATTGGATAATACAACTAAACTTAAAATCAAAGTTTAAATGACCAATCAGACAAGTGGAAGACTAACATCATCTTAAATTAAGTTTTCGAAAATAAAACCCCCGAGCTTTGGTTTATCACCCTAAACAAGGTTAAGAAAATGATAATTAAAACCTTACCACAATCCTGTTCATCTGAATTGTCACCACAATCATTATCTCCATCACACTGCCATAGAGCTGATAAACAGATACTATTCTTACATTTATACTCATGTTCTGTACATGTACGATCTATAACAAATATCATATTACACTGATAACAAATACCTTATTTTTAAGTTTAAATAGTCTTCCTCGGCAAGAGTCTTGTCATGAGTTCTGACTGCAGCACACAAGACAAAAAAATCTCCAGTCAGTCGTTTTCCACTATGTCACTTACAGATAATGTAATGGAAAGGAAGAATTTGATTGGATGATGACGCTCTGTCTTGCAAACTATAAAATGATCGGCAACAAATATCAAACTGGTTTGATATCATAAATCCTTAAAGCAACACGATATTCCTGTTGTGGAAGCAGGGGTACACGTAAAATAGTACTCAAGATTTGAGTCGGCAACAAAAATCAGCAACAAGACAGTAGGATACCAAACTTCTTGGTATTGATCTATCAATACTCTATCCATATGAAGCTGGATTGACTGGAATAATGAGGAAAGATGACTTCAAGATCACCAACCTTTTGCACGCTAACCGAGATTATAGCCAATGACCACAGTGTGCACCATGACGATAACATCATGGAAGGAATCCAAAAGTTTCAATTATTCATTCTACCTAAAAAATCACATGCTTTTGAATGTTTTGGCCCAGGATGTTCAAGTTGTTTTTGCTCCACTATACTTACTACAATTCCATTCATCAGTACCATCAGCACAATCAGTATCTCCATCACACTGCCAACCTACTGGTATACAGTGTTTAATATTCTTACACGTAAACTCATCAGCATCACACGTAATATCTGAAATTATCAATAAACTCATCAGCATCACACGTAATATCTGAAATTATCAATAAACTCATCAGCATCACACGTAATATCTGAAATTATCAATAAACTCATCAGCATCACACGTAATATCTGAAATTATCAATAAACTCATCAGCATCACACGTAATATATGAAATTATCAATAAACTCATCAACATCACACGTAATATCTGAAATTATTTTAAATTGTAGATTGATGTGGTTAAACCAAGGCTAGGCTACCATTAGTTCAGCAGTGTTCAATTGTAGCATGAAAATTACATAATAAAAATCTTACTCTGACAATCAACTTCATCACTACCATCTTCACAATTAATTTCTTTATTACATCTTAGATTCTTATGTATACATTTACCAATATTACACTGCCATTCTGATTCTGAACAATTACGTGGATCTACAATAGAAATATAAAAAAATTAAGAATAAAACCTGAACACAAATATGACCAGAAAGGGATCAAATGTGTGGCTTATCAGAAGGGTTGCCAAGTTGACAAACCTAGTTGCTGACGGACTGTAGAGTTATAAACAGGTGAAAAATTCTCCACCTTCAGAAGTGAAAAACTTTTTCTGCATCTATTTGATCTAAAGTAGAAGTGTAACACTATGCATCATGTTGTGAGGAAAATTTGACCAGGACATGTATTCCATGTGTACAGCCTGTGACAGTATATTGTCCCATCAGAACAACAAGACTCGTCAGCTGCTCTGACCTGCAGGTGAGCAAGCTTTTATCTCATTGAGTCACATTGAGCAGCTGCATTCCATAATATGTGAAAGGTCATTGCCCAAGAAGATCTTTAAGAACATTAGTAGATGTCCTAGTTGAATTAGAAATGGTCATCAAGAACCAAAGAATTTATCTAAATACAGGATGCTTTCGTTGTCAACAAACCATAGATAAACTTACCACAGTCAATTTCATCTGAATTGTCTCTACAATCATCATAACCATCACATTTCCATCGTCCAGGTATACAGTGAGAATTGGTACACGCAAAATACGTTGGATCACATGTTCGTGTATCTGAAAATAAAATACATCAACAGCTGTATTTTAGTCTAATCTAATTAAAGGAATCGTTAAGAGGTTCTTAAGCCTGTTCAGTCAAACCTAATTAAAGGGATTCTTAAGAGGTTCTTTTACCTTTTCAGTTAAACCTAATTAAAGGAATCGTTAAGAGGTTCTTAAGCCTGTTCAGTCAAACCTAATTAAAGGGATTCTTAAGAGGTTCTTTAACCTTTTCAGTTAAACCTATTTAAAGAGATTCTTGAGAGGTTCTCTAAACTTTTCAGTCAAACCTAATATCTAGTAGCAATAAGTAAAACTTAGTATTTTATGATGGCACTATTACAAAGCTGATAATTATATTAGTGACATCATAAAACACAAACAACTTATTAAACATTTGGTTTTTCTGTCTCTATCTTCACCCCTCTCTACACTAAAGTCTCCATTGAATTTGGTGTTTGATTTTGTAACAAGAGATAACATAAATATTTGATTAACTTTAAATTACAGTAACTTAACAGCAACTACAAAACATGAATCAACTATTAATCTATGTTGTATTTAAAATTGTTCTTCAGTCTTGTATTTGGTAGCAAACTATGATAACAGGTGAACTTACGACAGAGTTCTGGATCTTCATCAGACTTGTCATCTTCACCACAATCTCTATCACCATCACATTGCCAAGCTTCAGGTATACATCTTCCAGATTTATTACATTTAATATGTTTATCTTTACAGGCTAGGAGAGTACAGTTGTGTGGTTCATCTGAACTATCCCCACAATCATCGTCTTTATCACACTTCCAAACATACGGTACACAGAGTCCATTATTACACTGAAACTGGTTGGCACTACATGTTCTCATTGCTGAAATATAAATCATGGTGTCAGTAGCACTTTAGACTGTTAAAGCATTTGAATGATGTCATTTGCTTGGTTATCTCAATCACATTCTGGTCATGGGTTCTAATATTGGTCAGTCTGTGAGAGTTTGGTGACCTTCAAAACATGATCTTCCCTCTTTATTTTGGTTGAATGATCAAGGGAAGATCAATATAGAGAGGTTTAACCATGGACCAGCTGATGAAAATATCCTCTTAAACCTAAGTTGTAAAAATGGCTGTTTCTTTCTTTCTTTTTCATTTCTGAAAATAAATTGTAAACTTACGACAATCTTTTTCGTCTTCGCCGTCAGAACAAGTTTTATTTCCATCACATTTCTGGAATTCTGGGATACACTTGTCATCAGCACGACATTTAAAATGGTGGTCCAAACATGGGAACGATTCTAAAATATAACATTGTTAAAAAGATTTGATTTCTGAAATAAAATTACAACATAGACTTTCTCTGACAAGTTATTTTTCAACACTGGGATTGAACCCTGGACACCCTGCAGACATCCCAGAACAAAAAACAAATATTGTAAAGTTTTGAAGTTGTGCGCCTATGAATCATTTGGTGGAGACAGGGGTGAGATTTCAAACATAGAGGGGCATAAGCCAAGCCTGCCATGGAGGGTCTGAGGAGAAAGTTTTTGAAAATCAAATTGATATGGTGTATTCTGAAAAACTATCTGTTGCAAAAAAGTATATAAGTAGGATTATAATTTTTTTTGGGTGAGTATAAGTTGTGTGAGTAGGGGCCACAGAATTTTCAAAGAGGGCCATTCTTCCCTTGGCAAAAACAAAAAATTGAAAGTGGATTGGGGAGTCAATTTTACGTCCCTCCGGCCGGAAAAGGTTCATAAGGTACATACTGCAGTCAAATTCATCAGACTCATCTTTACAATCTTTAACACCATTACAGATCAAGCCTGGTGGTATACAGTCATTACTAGATGTAGCTGATTTACACTGGAAAAATCCTGTTCTCAAACAATGATACTTGGCTGAAAATAAATATGGTTTGATGAGTACAACTGATATCATTCTGTAATCCTGGTAATCATTCTGTAATCCTAGTAATCATTCTGTAATCCTAGTAATCATTCTGACATTAATTAGGATGGAATTCTAATCTTTTAATTTGTATCAGAGAAAATGATAGGATTGAGTTCACCTTTATAATTTTCAGGCGACTGTGGTTCTTGTAATTTGACAAAAACAATGCTTTTATGATGTGACTATCACAAAGGTCCTTAGAGAATATTTCTAAACAGTGACGTTCCTTGAACTATGCCGGATAAATGTTAGACATAACCATTACTCAATAAATATTAATTCAAACAATTTCTTTAACAAAAGTGTGAACTTACCACAATTTGGAGGTTCATCAGATCCATCACCACAATCATCATGACCATCACACTTCCACCACGATGGGATACATTTAGACGATTCTTGACATAGAAACTGAGCACTGTAACACAAAAAAACAATCAGTTTCAGTCAAACTAGAACCTCCATTTCCATAACTAGATGTCCTGATGAGGATTGTTTATCCAAAACACATGTTGTGACCATGAGTTGAGCTCTATTTTAGTCAAGACAGGCTTGATTTTACTGCAGATCAAATGGATTTAAGTTATCCATGCACAAGAGCCTGTGTTTAAAGCCTATAAAATTTTGTTGTCCTCGATTGTTGAGTTCTGCTCGACCAATCACGCAAGCGCCACCTATAATTTCTAGAGTCTTACCTAGTACAGTTTGATATACATTGTTTGTTGTCTTTTGATAAGTGGAAGTTTTCTGGACACGAACACACACTTTCTAAATCATCTAGATTGCCTTTTCTAGGTCGTAATAAACAAAGATGGCTGCATCCTTTTTTCTCACATGGATCTTTCTCTACAATAATATATCACAATCTTAATCATCCTCAGGATTTTTATAACATAAAAAGTTTGTTTCACATTATTTGGTATCATTTAAGGGGTTATAAAGATGTTTTCTAAGCTTCATATATGTATTTGGGATACTGATAGCATTAATTTGCACCATTCTCATTTTCAGTCGTTCTTGCAATTCGACAAAAACTAAATGTTTTATGACTTAGCCGTAGCAAATATCTTCAATATTATTCACAGCTTTTGCAATAACGACATCAGATATGGTTAAACATTTCTATAATTTCAAGAACAACAGACGTAAAGATCGTTGCTATCAGTGTCCCCTACACATAACAAGTGTACAAAACCTTTATAGAATTAACCTTAAGAAAGATGAAACAATAATAAATATGTTCTTACCTAGCATGACTTGTTTTAGGGGGTGATATATCTGTAGACCCATTGGTTTGTGAACAAAACTCATCAACTGAGAGACGTTGGCACCAGTGAACTTATTGGCATAAAATATACCCATGTGTTCCCAGTCTGTCCAATATATAAAGTTCTCAAATGTGGCCAGATCGAAAATATGTGGCACACGTTGACTTTCACTGACAATGATTCTTCTACCACTACCATCTAGATTTGCCATGGCGATATAGTCCAAGCTTCCATCAGCCCAAATTATCTTTTCGGTCACATAATCAATGGTCAAGGCATTAGGCCAGCCGAGATTGTCTTTGATTATAGTCTCATGCTTGCTGCCGTCCATCCAGACTCTTCCTATATGGTGGTTGTCTCCCCAGTCTGTGTAGAATAAAACACCTTTAGAAGGAAATACTTCTAATCCTCTTGGTTCCTGATAAAGATAGAATTATATACAATATTTGATAGCTGATGTAAGGGAAAATCTAAAACTCGGATACAGCTAACCTTGCTATATAATGTACTTACACCATGACGTTCTGGTCAGCGTTCTCTAACGTTTGAGGAAACGTTGGTTATCGTCCATGGTCGCTGGGAAAGCGCCAGAAGAACTTTGTGTGAACGCTAGTGAACGTCGGTGATCGCCAGAAATTGTCGGAGAACGCTGGTCAGGAAAAAAAGTTTTGAATATGCACAAAAGTTCTCACTGAGAACATTTAATTTTAAACGCTGAAGAATTTTTAAGAACGTGGATAGTTTTACTAATGTTCGCTGAGCGTTGCACGCGTGTGGCTATCGTTAGTCAGTCGTTACTCTAGCGTTACTTGGTTGTTACTAAACGTTTGCTTTGCATTAAACGACCGCTGAATGCTCCCTTAGCGCAAACAGCGTGTGAACAAAAACAACTGAATTCACTAGGAAATTTCAAGCTTTTTGTACTGTTCGCCTGTAAAAATAACGCGCCAGCAAGATGCTATTCTGTCATTATTCAAACGCTCAACACACTCGTCTAACGTTGACAAATCATTCGTCGCGCCAATGGCACATTAGCATACCCTAATGGTTTTCAGGGGTATCTTACTTGGTGGCTGTTACACGCTTCTTGTGTGTTAGACACACGCTAGTCATGCGTTAGACACCCCTAGTCATTCGTTAGGCACACATTAATCACACGCTAGATATGTCCACCGCACCCTAGAACGCTCGATAATTGAACGATTAGAATGTTCAGAGAACGTTGACCAGAACGTTATGGTGTGATGGACCCATAAGGAGCTTCAGATTTTTTCCATATTAATGGCACACAATTGAGGGGATATTCGGTGTGGCACCTTAAATTGAGGCCAATAGAAACAGATAGAAATCAAGCTGAAGACAAATTTTGTAATTGTGGGAATGTGGTGTTTCCCAGACATCATTGACCCAAACAAGTACAAAAAAGTCAAGACATTTCACTCACATTATTTAGATACAGATATAATACGTAGAACTATCAGTTAAACTTTGACTTGTATCAGAATTTATAATCAATACATCATAAAACACCAAAATAATAGATAATATTTTACAAAATGATGCCAAAAGATAAACTACAATATTACTTGAAATTCATCATCACTAGCAACCAAATATCAACAATTCAAAGTCTCACCTGTAGACCTTCTCGTACTAGAATTCTACGATATTTTCCATTGAGTTGAGAAACTTCGATAGTATCTGTAGTTTTATCACACCAATATAAATTATTACCAACCCAATCTACTGCTATACCATCAGGATTACGTACTGTTGTCTTATGAAGTACCTATATAGAAAACAATATGTGAAGCCTTACTATGGTAGACTGATAGCTACATAATATGTCTGTCCACTGGTTTGACAGACGATGGGCCCTCTAAAAGGGGAAATAATTCTACAAATCTGTGTATTTATATGCTAATATTCATAGTTAAAAATACTTTCAATGTAACAATGTAAATGTCGGTCAGAGCTCTGAAATAATGACATTGGCTTGGCTACATCCAGCAAATAGTGGTTTAGGGTTCAAATCTTAATCTGCACGTAATAATCTCGAATAAGTCATATTTGCACACAATTAGAGTCTACCCCAGTTGTATAAGGGAGGAATTATTCAGGAAAGATCAATGTCAAGAGAACTTCTGACCAACCTTCCTTCAGGAAGCAGCAGTATTTTGGTTAGCTTGTAATGATGTGTACAATGAGGGAAATTTTGAAGAGCAGTGACAGTAGCCATTGTCCACTGTTTAAGGATACTAGAAATAACCCACCTCAATGGTACCCTTGGTATCATTTTTCCTCATTCTGTTGATACTGCTACTACGACTGCTAATATCACTCCAGTAAATATAATTAGATTTATAATCAACATCTAGAGCTACAGCATTCTCTAATGTATCTTTTAATATTGATGTATTACCCCACGGTAATGATACATTACGAATATAATATCTATTACTCAATATCAATTCTGCTGGTTTGTCTGTAATATATAATAGGTATATCTATATTGTGAAATGAAATGGAGTTTTACATCCTACTTTTCTGTATGTCAGTCCTTTTTTAAATCAGACATTATCAAGATAAAGAAATAAGAGTTTTACAATCTATATTTCTCCACCTGTTTGGGAGTATTAGCCATGCCATGCAGTGTGAAATGAGGGCAATTTTGCACGGACAGTAGCATTAGCCAACTTCTATTCCGATTGTCAAAGGATCTTCTTTGTTCAAAGCTTTAGCCTGCAGGGTCTTGTTATATCGTCCCATCTAAATGACTGAATGCCTTTTCATGTCAGCCCCTCCGACCTGCATGACTGACATTGGGAAACCGGGTTGAAAAATCTGAAGTTACTATCTCAACCTAAGCCAGAAGATCCTTATAGTTGAGCACAGAACACAATTCAAACCACAAATACAAGCAGTCTTCTTGAATATTTAGGATAAGTTGTAAGGAACACAATATGTTCATATAGAGCTCATCACTACTTAATCTACCTCGAAAAAAATAAACTGTTCTTGTTCATAAATATTTTGCACCATAAGGTGTATTTAATTAATCAAGTTTGTCTTTTTGAATCACATTCCTTGTAACAAGTCAACACCTAGTACTAGTTTTCTACATAAAGTCTTATCAATCTTGTGTTGTTGTTGATCAATGTAGGATCCCATTTCTGCCTGTTGAAAAGATGTATTTATGTAAACAAGTTGAACTGATAATAACTTACTCGTTTTACAGTTTCTATGATTAGATAAGGTATAACCAGTAGCACAACTACAATGATAAGATCCTATAGTATTATGACAGTAGTGGGTACATGGAAATGTTGTATTACATTCATTTACATCTGAAATAAAAAATATAACAATTCAGGCTTTTGGACCAGGAAATAAAGGAAAAACCATTGATAGTATATTTGCTGACTTGTTTAGAGTAATGAACATTTTAACCTGATTCCAATGGTGCAGGTATATTGGTCACAGACTAGAGTCTTGTTGTCAGGAGTTTCGCCAATCGGTTGTGGGAACACGAGGAGACAAAAAATCTCCAGGTGGTTGTTTTTCACTATGTTGATCACGTGCAGATCATGTAATGGAAAGGAAAATGAATCTGATTTGATGATGATGCTCTGTCTTGCAGAGGGTAATATAATCGGTGATAAACTGTTTTAATATTATAAATCTTGTCAACAATGTAATAATCTTGTCATGGAAGCGAGGGCCAACTTGAGATTTAACTCAAGATCAAAGTCGACGGAAAAATCGCGAGGATCCTGTCTACCAGCTGGTTCTTGATCAAATTTCTTGATAATGTTTACATGGTAACACCTTAGGTTCACTAGGATCCTGTCTACCAGCTGGTTCTTGGTCAACCCACTGGATGTTGATCTTCCCTGGATTAACCAGGTCTTTAGACTTTCATATGATTTTACAGCCCACAACTGCAATTTGTTACAGTATTCAAGCAAATGATATTAAAAGGTTCGTTATGTTAAAGTTTTCTCACCTTGACAAGTTCTATCATCAGCTCTTAAAGTATAACCTGGTTTACAATCACACTCATACCCTATCTTCTTATCTTTACACTGATGATTACATAGATGATTCCCTTCACATTCATTGATACCTGTAGGTCAAACATAGAGTCAAATCCAGATGAAGAACTTCATTTTGGCACCCCATTGGGTTAATGAAGATGGGCAACAAAGGAAATTTTTGCCAGGACAGCTGCATTAGCCTACTCTCTTTTTAGATTTCAACTGTCAAGGGATCTTTAAAATGCACTGTCTGTTTAGGACCTCTCTCTATTGTCCCATACGAACGACAAGAGGCTTTTTCCATGTCAGCCTCTCTGACCTACATCACTGACAATTGTAAACCAGGATTCAGCCTTTGACCTTTATGAGTCTTTCTCAGAACCACCGCTGCTCCTAGGTCAAGGGGCCTGATACTTACCACAATTAGGAGGTTCATCAGAATAGTCACCACAGTCATTTCTTCCATTACAGACATTACTATCATCTATACACAAACCATTAGAACATAGATGTTTACTTTTATCACCACCACACGGACTCTCCACAGTACAGTTCATTTCATCAGAGTGGTCAGGACAGTCATATAGACCATTACAACGATCTGATTCATCAATACATAGTCCTCTTTCTACACATTTAAACTGGTCTGGTTTACAGGCTGGATATACTGAAATAATATACAACATATTGACAGTCTATCCTAGGTGTTTTATATACAACATATTGACAGTCTATCCTACTTAGTATATACAACATATTGACAGTCTATCCTAGTTAGTATATACAACATATTGACAGTCTATCCTAGTTGTTCTATATACAACATATTGACAGTCTATCCTAGTTGTTCTATATACAACATATTGACAGTCTATCCTACTTAGTATATACAACATATTGACAGTCTATCCTAGTTAGTATATACAACATATTGACAGTCTATCCTAGTTGTTCTATATACAACATATTGACAGTCTATCCTAGTTAGTATATACAACATATTGACAGTCTATCCTAGTTGTTCTATATACAACATATTGACAGTCTATCCTAGTTAGTATATACAACATATTGACAGTCTATCCTAGGTGTTCTATATACAACATATTGACAGTCTATCCTAGGTGTTTTATATACAACATATTGACAGTCTATCCTAGGTGTTCCATATACAACATATTGACAGTCTATCCTAGTTAGTATATACAACATATTGACAGTCTATCCTAGGTGTTCCATATACAACATATTGACAGTCTATCCTAGTTAGTATATACAACATATTGACAGTCTATCCTAGGTGTTCCATATACAACATATTGACAGTCTATCCTAGTTAGTATATACAACATATTGACAGTCTATCCTAGGTGTTCTATATACAACATATTGACAGTCTATCCTAGTTAGTATATACAACATATTGACAGTCTATCCTAGGTGTTCCATATACAACATATTGACAGTCTATCCTAGGTGTTCTATATACAACATATTGACAGTCTAACCTAGGTGTTCTATATACAACATATTGACAGTCTATCCTAGGTGTTCTATATATTATACAATGCATGTGTGTGTTTTTCAGGGTCCCCACCCCAATAGATCTTATTGAATCCAGAAGGAGGCTCATACAAGAAACATAGACAAGGTAATGTGGTTATTGATGTTAAATAGCCACTTTGACCTGTTTAAAACCGCCTTCTTCTGTCTCATTAGCATAAACCTTATCAAATTATGGATCATTAAAATCAGAGTTGATTAAGCTATTTAATGATATACCGAGATAAAGACGTCACACCACCATTTGTTACATGTAACCAACCAAATGACGTCATGTAAAGATTCCAACACTCTAACAGACTGTGCTACAGCTCTTACTCGAACAGTTTTGAAGAAAGGTACAAAATATATCCAACTTACGACAATGAGCTTCATCTGAATTATCTCCACAGTCATCATCTCGATCACAGAAAAATGTATGTGGAATACACTTTCTATTTAAACATTGGAATTCATTATCCTCACACAGAACATTGGCTGAAAATAGAACATTGGAATTCATTATCCCCTCATAGAACATTGGCTGAAAATAGAACATTGGAATTCATTATCCCCTCATAGAACATTGGCTGAAAATAGAACATTGGAATTCATTATCCTCACACAGAACATTGGCTGAAAATAAAACATTGGAATTCATTATCCTCACACAGAACATTGGCTGAAAATAAAACATTGGAATTCATTATCCTCACACAGAACATTGGCTGAACATTGGCTGAAAATAAAACATTGGAATTCATTATCCTCACACAGAACATTGGCTGAAAATAAAACATTGGAATTCATTATCCTCACACAGAACATTGGCTGAAAATATAACACTGGAATTCATTATCCTCACACAGAACATTGGCTGAACATTGGCTGAAAATAAAACATTGGAATTCATTATCCTCACACAGAACATTGGCTGAAAATAAAACATTGGAATTCATTAAAACCCTGACAAGTAAGAAAAATGTTAAAAATCTTTACACTTACTGCAATTGGAGGGTTCATCTTCATCATTTTGACAATCTGTATCACCATCACATACCCATGTTATAGGTATACATTTACCAGTTGATGTACACATAAACTCATCCTCTTTACATTGTCTTTTATCTAAAACAATAGATTGAGAAACTTGAGGCTGTGTATTTTAACATAACAGAATGACCTTTTTAATATGAATGTGGTCGCTTGAAATGATATGTTTATTTAGAACTTCAAGCATAAATATTGGCTACTGGATTGGTGACATCATGAATATTCATTACTTGTATCTCTAATACAAGTTAAAACTTCTAAAGGTCAACATATAAATACATTAGCAATAAAATAAATTAAACCATACAAAAATTTCACTAATATCATGTATAGGGGCACAGATCCATTGATAAACTTGGTGGAAACAAGCTGTCTAGAGAAGTAAAGTCCAATGTGTGTTTAAAGGGACATTCTGCTTTTTTTTTATAGGTAGAGAAATAACATATAAACCTACCACAGCCCACTTCATCAGAACCGTCTGGACAATCAGGATGACCATCACACTGCCATGTTTTAGGTAGACACGTAGAATCAGCACACGCAAACTGTTCATTCTCAGAACATGTATATTCTACAATACAAATAAATTAAATACCATTGGGAAAATACATCAAAGTGATTTAATGATTGTAATATATCCAAGAGTATATACAAAAGGGAAAATAACAATGAAATTACCATTAAGATATTATACAAATGAGTAATTCACCATAATTGTAACCATAAAGAAATGACAAAAAGGTAATTAATCCCAGAGTAATAATTGTGTATTTGGGAAGGAAAGGTTTGAATTCTTTGTCCTGGTACTTACTGCAGTCAGCTTCATCAGACAGATCAGCACAATCAAAATCTTTATCACATTTCCACTGCATAGGTATACAGACACCACTGGTACAGTTAAACGAGTTAGGGGGACAATCACTCGGTCGGCCTAGAGAAAATAAAATAAAACTCAATAGAGGTTTACCATTGAAAACTTGCTACAGACATGTCTCCTGAGTAAGGTTCAATGTAAATATCATTAAAAAACACCACACTGTGAACTGATGTTAAAATACAAATCAAACAAAAAACTAATTCATGTTAGGGAATTTTGCACATCTGGTTTACATTCTGTTTATAAAATCTATTATGTACTGTCATGATTAGTCAGCAGTCTGCTGAAATCTTTACATTGTATGAATTTTGGGCTTCTTGACTGAAATGAAATTCGTTTGTTAAAACATGGCCTACCAGACATAACAAGACCTTCAGATCAAACATGCATGATCAATATGGTAGATCTACTTACTAATTGTATAATGTCTGATATAAAAACTTTATATCTTACAGAAATTGAACATTATTATAATTATTTGTGACTGGTTAATCAAGTCAAGACTTAAGTTAGATACTTACTAGTATTGTTGCAGTTTTCTTCATCACTATTATCCCAGCAGTCATTAGTACCGTCACATTTCCAGATTTCAAATATACAGGCAGACGTCTTTTTACATGGTATTAAATCATGTACTTTATGGCCATCCATCTCTACATCTGTACAATTTAAATCTGAAAAAATTAATAAAGGTTTTGAATAATGAATTATTGTTAAACCAATGTGTTCAAAGAAAATCAGAAAATTTTGAAGATAAAATGCTAAAATTTGGCCATCATTTACATCTTCATGTACATGTATTACATCTGACGGCCAAGAAATGACAATAGTCAAGCTGTTTAAAAATTTATCATGAAACATAATATAGATAAAAGATACAAAAACAGTCTTCCTGTCAATGGCCCTTATGTATTAATCGTAGATTTTGCAATAGTGATGTAATGTTCTATTAAACATTTCTACAAGTACAGAACCACAGAAGTCTTAAAATCAAAATGATGCTACTAGAAATGACTGGATACACAAAAAAGTTTAGAAACCCTCTTTACAATCCCTTTTAATTCAATTTTCTTCACTCTACTTACTGCAATTTTTTTCATCAGAGAAATCAGGGCAGTCATCATCTCTATCACATCTATATTTATTAGATATACACATTCCACTATCACATTGAAACTCATCAGCACCACACGGACATTGCTTCTCATCACTATTATCACCACAATCATTGATTCCATTACAAATCTTATCAAGATACACACATCTTGTATTATTACAACTATAATAATCAGCTGGACATTTACGTGTTTCTATAAATATAATAATTACATATTTTCATGTGTTAAAATAGTACTCAATTCAATTGTAGAATGATATAGAAATATTAAAACAGAACCTAACAAAACATGTTGTTATTGCTCAGAGTTTCTTTAAACAAACGTTCTGAAACTTGTCGCAAAGTGTAGACATGAGAATAAGTTCCAAATGTCCAACTTCACGGGCTGAAAATAGGTCATTTAACTGAAGATAGTGATAAACTCTGAGTAACAATATGATTCAAATTCTGTTTTAAATATTTCTGTATTAAAGATGGGTTTTCTTGATTAAAAGTAGTCCAAAAGAGATTAAAAGAGATTATCCATAGATTTATTGGCCTTTCTAATGGTTAATCCAAACATTAGTTTGTCAATCAACCACACAAAGGCTTCGACAAGCTTGGTCTATTTAGGTTCATGAATGAGGTAATGGCGTCATAACTAGAGATCATATCACATGATAATTTCTAATTTAAATTGAAGAGTTTATCCACATTTTCGTAATTTGAAATATTTAGTGCAGCAGATGAGAAAAGCAATATAGTAAGTAAGAATATACTTAAAATGATTACAATTATTCATCTTGAACAAATGGAAATATATTTTGCACTGGCATTAGAGATAGAAAACCACATACCAAAATATAATTGCCGCCATTGTTGTAAGTGACAGAATTTTCTTTTTTATGATCGACTTTTCTGATGCACATGCGTAAACATTGGAAATCGAGACTATTGGAAATGTAAACACGGGGATTCTCTCGGTAATTAGCTTATTACGAGTTAATTAGGGACCGCACAGATTAATTCTTGTACTCGGAAGTCGTTAGGATAACCGGCCAATCGATTTATATAGGTATTTGACACACAACAATGGATTAGAAACAAAAACAATGATATTCTAGCACTTAAATTAACATCAGGGATGCTGATAGCTCAAATAGTCAGTCAGGTGTCTGTGGGTTGTGAAATAGCTATGACAGAGGTACTTAGATAATATCAGTATCTTTTACCTTTAAACAATTCTATAAAAACCACACATATCAGATAGAATATTGAAATAACAAAAATAAAATGGTTTCCAACCTCTTTAGAGACTGAATAGAAAATCCAAATGACTAGACATTTATTTAGTACATCACTGACAGGTGGAAAGCGGGTTGAAAAAAATCTGAACGTATTTCATAGTAACAATACATTGGGGAAACTTGTGGTCTAACTGACTGAGTCACCAATGTTCTAGTTTAATAATAGAAGATAAATTACTTACTACAGTACTGTTCTGATTCATCTGAAGCATCAATACAATCTCGTACACCATTACAAGTCTTCTCTATAGTTATACACATTCTACCATCTTCACAAACATAATCAGTCATATTACAGTTTAAATTCTTCTCAGCTATAATATATACCATATAATTGTGAATACAATGCACATTCATTCTTAATCTCTAGTAAATATAGATAATGTACAGGTAGTCATATTACAATTAAACCCTTTCAACACTAGCACCTGCTCTACAGGTCACATAAATATTAACCACCTGGCCAGTGAAGGGTGCTACCATGTAAAGTCAAATAATGTTAACATTATACAGGTGAAGTTATTATATTTTATTTGTTTTATTTTATTAACACTGGGTGTTTAAAGGGTTAAAGGTAAATGACTTTTTATTTAATTTTATTTCAACCATTAGTCAAGAAGTTAAGCTGGGATCACATGATTTTTGTCTCCGATTTTCTTGTCCTGGAAACTCTGGTACACGGGAGATTTTACTCATGATTCAAACAGGTGACAAAAACTCTTTCTACCTCTATCTTTAGATAACCTGGGAGGTAAAAATCACTGTTTCAACAGAAATATTACTTACTGGCACATCTTCGACCATCAGGTAATAAAAATTTACCAGGTGGACATACACAATAGGGTAAACCTTTCTCATTGGTGATACACTCGCCTTCACAACCATATGTATTATTATAACAGGGACTTAATGTACCTTTAATTATAAATTTAACATAAATAGGTCAGTTGTCTGAAGATTGTATACTCTGAGTAACAACATGTTTTTTTTAGGTTCTGTTTTAATATTTCTATTAAGTGCTGTGGGTTCGAATCTGCCTTCAGATTGGAAATATTCTGATACCACAGCCAGTGCATCTGAGAGTCAGTTTGTATTGGTTTTCAACCTCCATCACCTATCCTTGCCTGTGCTTGGCCATATCACATAATTTCAATAGTCAATATAGAGTCTGAATGCTGTCCTCTTCAAAGTAAGAAAAGAAATATTCTGGTGCCACAATCAGTGCTTTCGAAAGTGAACTTACAATTATCAGCATCCTCTGCTACTGCTATAATACCCATAGGTTGTCGCTCTATATTCTTAACTAGCCAGGTGATCTCTGAACCGTCATATTTATTAGCTCGTAATACAGCACGTAACATCCAGTCAGTCCAATACATATAATCACCATATACAGTTAAACCAAATGCATGTTGTGGTATAGATGTTACAATAACCTACAAAATATTTTTATTTTACTCTTGTGATAGCAGAAAGTTTGTATTTTAAGGGGATTATAAAATGCTTTCAAAATCTTTTATGTGTAATAGGTACACTGATAGCATCAATTTGCAACATTCCAATTTTCAATCAGACGTCTGTAGTTCTTGCAATTTTACTACAACCAAATGTTTAATAATGAACTGCTAAAAATATCTTAAGGCCTATGGGATAATGTTGTCATAAAACACTTTGATTTAGTGGAATTACAAGAACAACAGACGTCTTAGTGAAAATTGTAATAATACAAATCAATGTTATTAATCTTCCAAATACCCATAAAAAGTTAAGAAAACCTCTTTACAATCTATTTACAGTTCTTTCATCTGATTTCACAACCAATGTACTTTCTTCGGCCACAAAAAATACAAACATCCTTACCATTCTATCAGTGCCATCTAAATTACAACGTTCAATTTTATCTAATCTAGCATCAGACCAATATAATTTCTCAGCTCTGTTATCTATAGCTAGACCATTAGGTGTCTCTATTCTCTCTGTTATAATAGACTCTACACCAAAACCATCCAGGAACGATCTCTGTATTCTCGGGTTCTCGTTGTTCCAGTTGGTCCAAAATATACGACTGAAAAATGAAAATGAATGGAGTTTAAAATCTGATAAAGATAGCTTGCCAGGCAAGGTAACATACGTCCACTATCAGCTGTCAGAAATGATAACAAAGTCTGTAGTGGTTTAATATGTGAAACCAATCATTCTATTTTTACAAGCTTCACAGGGATCTCATACCAAGTTTCATCAAGATCGTATAAAAGCTAAATTAGACGCATTGAATTAATTCAAGGGCAATAACTCCAAAACCGTTCAGCCAATTGTTACCAATTTTAACTTGACTGAGATCTTGTCAATATATACACGCATACTAAGCTTCATCCATTTCGGATAAAAACTGTAGTCTATAGGGTGTCTAAAAGCTAAATTTGACGTATTTTTTACTAAGTCAAGGGCAATAATCCTGAAATCGTTCATCCAATTATTACCAACTTCAAATTTGACTGAAATCTCATCAATATATACATCCATAGTAAGTTTCATCAAGATAGGATAAAAATTGTAGTGTTCATTGGGCATACAAGGCAATTTTAACGCATTTTTACTGAGTCAAGGGCAATAACTCTGAAACCGTTCAACCGATTATTACCAATTTCAAACTTGACCGAGATCTCATCAACATGTAAGTGCATACTAAGTTTCATCAAGATCAGATAAAAATTGCAGCCTTTATCGTGCATACCAGCCAAATTTAACACGTTTTTACTAAGTCAAGGGCAGTAACTCTGAAACCATTTATCAGATTATTACCAATTTCAACCTTGACCGAGATCTCATCAATATATACATGCATACTAAGTTTCATCAAGATCAGATAAAAATTGCAGCCTTTATCGTGCATACCAGCCAAATTTAATGCGGGTAAAGCTCCGTTTTAAAGACTATTTAACTAACCTCTGACAAGAATGAAGAACTATAGCTCTAGGATGGTCATTCTCTGACAGTTGTATCAATATTTCTAGTTCCTGTTTGTCACTATCAAAGTCAATTCTATTAATAGATGATTTAGTATAACTGGTAAAATACAAGTTATTATTTTTGGAGTCGAATACCAAACCTTCTGCTGATCCTACACCTGCAAATTAAATACAATACAAAACTAAGTTCGGAAATTTAGTCATCTTTCCTCATGCTTCTAGTCGAACTAGCTTTAAATTGGTACAGATCAATGCCAAGAGATTTGATCAATGACCAGCTGGTAGAAAGGTTTCTCATGAACCTTAGTTGTAATTCTTGTAAAGATAACTGTTTCTTTCTTATTGATTTGTGAGTTAGTTCCGCCTTTTAGAAACTAGTTCAGATCTCTACAATCATGCACTGACTTGAATAACGCCCAGATAATAGACCTTTCTTACCTTCTTTAACAATTTGAAGATCTGAACCATTAAAAGAGACAGACTGTATGTCACCACGTTGTATATCACTGAAGTAGAGTCGGTTCCCTTTATAATCATAGGCTAATCCTATCACATTCTGCATGGTTTCATTGGTAATGGGTTTAAATGGTGGATTTTTACTGGGTATCCTGGACATAGAGACAGAGTCTATACCAGTTACTTTAGAAAACATCAAAAACTCTGTATAGGCTGAAATAGAAACAAAATAATCTTTAGTTAACATAAAGATATATAGTAGACAGTAATATAAACTGTTAATGATCTTTATGTTGTGAGTCTAATTGTCGTCTGCTTGACGATGAGATGTTGTGGTTTCCATTCCCATCAAGGTAAGACATTTCTAATGCCTCGGCCAGTGTTGACTTTCAAACCCTATTACTGATTGGTTAGAATTATTTAAATAGTAACCATAGCATATCAGACATAAATTGGATATGAGAAACTGGTTTGTATAAATTCCAATTGCCAATTTATATTACATTTTACATTTGAAAACTGTGAGCAAAAATATGTTGTTGGGGCAACAGCTATTTATGTGACTTCATAGAGTAAATCGAAAAAGATAATAATATTGAATTTTGTAAATATATCACAGCACCCACCTTCACAATCTCTACCATTTAGTTTTAATCTACCATAAGAACAGATACATGATGCATGTCCTGACCCTTGATATAAACATAACTCAGCACAATTATAACTGTTCTTTAAACAGATATTGTGACCTAAAACTAAATAAATATGAAATGAATGTAGTCTTACATCTTACTGTTCTACACCTTATTGGGTTAATGAAAATGGTCAACACCATACAGTGAGTACAGTTTGCCTGGAAAGGGCATCATCAGTGACCTTTAACATACACAGCCTGGCATGAAGCCTCAGTTTATTGTCACATCTGACTTTACTTGATGAAATGAAAAAAATTTGAAAATTTCACAACAGCAATATAATGCTGAGGTTCCAAATTTTGTTCAGATCGCGACCCCAGGGCTTGAAACTCTGAACCTAAGGACTTATTTTTTATATGAACAGTCATGACCATATATCAGTGCAATCCTGCCCATTTTTACCCTTTAAAAAACTTGCAAAACTTGTGGTGCACAGGTTGTAAGATTAAAGGTGTAGCAAGATGTTTAGATTCAATTGCAATTTCATTCTTCCAAAAATAAGATGGACTGAAGCAATATCGTGGCTTAACCACACTTAATATAAAAAAGATAATTTACTTCTCTGTCTATCAGCATCAAATATCTGTACATGTTTTAATTTATCTGTTAAGTTTTTACGAAGGTATTGTACATCTGTTGAAGTTAATGTTTTATTTGTTCTTTTAATTGATCCATTACCATCAGTTCTAAAAGAGATAAGATTTCATCAGTGAGTAGATATAGGCTGTAGTATAGTTAGATAGGTCTTTTGAATCTTTATATGACATCATTTGCTTGGTTTTGTTTTAGTATTTACAAGCTAAAAATTGAAAGCTTTTCAAGAACAAGGGCAATAACTCATACTAAATATTTTTTCGATTCTTCTGATTTTAAATAGGGTTTATCCTTGGGTGATTAAGAAGACTTATACCAAGTTTCGTCAAAATCTGTCAAGAATTGTCCCTTCTAGAATGTTTAAAAGCTAAAAATTGAAGCGTTTTCAAAAACAAAGGCAAGAACTTATACTAAATATTTTTTGATTTTTCTGATTTTCAATAGGGTTCATACTTGGTTGATAACAAACACTCACACCAAGTTTCATCAAAATCCATCAAGATTTGTGCCTTCTAGAGTGTTTACAAACTAAAAATTGAAGCGTTTTCAAAAACAAGGGCAATAAGTCATAAATTTTCTGATTTTCATAGAGTTCATTCTTGGGTGATAACAAACAGTCACACCAAGTTTCATCAAAATCTGTCAAGAATTGCATTTCATGTCTACATATAAAATGGAGAATAATATAAAGCAACTTACTTATCAGCCCAATATATATAGTCTTTAAATATTGTTAATGAGACACAGGCTGTTAGACCAGGAACCACATGGTTTACTTGTTCCTGAGTGTTAAAATCATAACTAACAATCTTATCTATTTTATCTGAATCTTCCTCACACCAATATAACATGTCTGTATCATAGTCAATAGTCAATCCTCGAGGCCGAACCATATTAGAATCAATCAAAGCTTTGAGATCAGAACCATCTAGCTTGGCCTGCATTATCACTGGATATTTACCTTGATCAATAAAATATAACATTCTGAAAAAAATAAAGACAAAGAAATATCAGTAAGTTTTTGAAAATATATGCTTAATCACATCAAGTCATTTGCGTTACATCACCAAACATCAGTTTTAGTCATTTTCAATGTCCCCGACACACATAAGCAGTGAAGAAGACTAACAACATGCTGTGTGCAATCAGGGAAATTTTGCCAGGAGAGCAGTGATATTCCACTATTTTTCAATTCAAACTATCAAGATGTCATTGTGTTCAGTCTGTAGCATAGGATACCTTTGTCCATTGTCCCATTTTTCACATCAGCCCCTTGACCTGTATCAATTACAGGGGGTAGCTGGGTTGACCCATTCTGAGATTGAATAATAAACCAGGTTAGCGAGCAAGTATCCAACTCACTGAGTCACAACTCCCCAGACTTAAGATAAGAAAGTGATCTCACCCGTTTCGAGGATGAACTACGATTGAGGTAGGATTATCCAGACCTTCATGTATCAATACATAACGATTACTACCATCTGTTTTAGCTACTTCCACTGTATTATGACTTCTGTCTGTCCAGTAGATATGATCTGAAATAATACAAATAATTATAAAGTCATATCACATGATAATCACATTGTGACCTTTCTGCATGATATGGTAATCATATTGTGACCTTTCTGCACGATGATATAATCATGATGTGGCCATTCCGCATAATATGATAATGATATTGTGACCTTTCTGCATGATGTGATAATCATACTGTGACCTTTCTGCATGATGTGATAATCATATTGTGACCTTTCTGCATGATGTGATAATCATATTGTGACCTTTCTGCATGATGTGATAATCATATTGTGACCTTTCTGTGATAATCATGATTATGATGTGGTCATTTGGTATTTTTAGATGGAGGTTATAATAATTACTATAATACTTTGTGTTTTAGTTTGAAATTTCAATTCAGATAAAAAGGGTAAATATATAAAACAAACTTACTAGCAACCCAATCTACAGCTAGACCTTCAATACTGTTTAATCCTTTATTTATAATTTCTTCTCTTTGTGTTAAATTACGTTTAATACGAGATATAGCTCTAGCATTCGAGTCCACCCAATAAATATAATCAGCCTCTGAAAATACAAGAAATTAATTCATATATCGAGTGATTTCTAGACTAAAATTATCAAAACATCAGGAATTCAGTGTTATACTAAAAGAGGAAGGAATAAAAAAAAATATGCACTGAGTAATGGGGATCACTAGAATGACAGGGTATTTTCCTTCACCATAAACACCTGCTTCTATTTACGACTGGGTTTGCCAACTTAGCAGAGATACAGTAGATAATGTTTCATGTAGACAATGGCGGTGCGAAGGTTGCACACTCAATTGTACCCCCTTTTTATTTTTAACAACTTTTTATAGGTTTTTTGCCCAAATAAATTCAATTTCTTCGAAAATTTCTTGGAAGAAACCTTTAAGATACCCCATGAGAGACTTGCCACTATGGCGCCTTCACATTTTTAATTCAGTTGAACAAGCAGAACAAATAAAGAGCCATCTAAATCAGTTTAAATGTAAAATTTTCTCTTTTGATCGACATTATCATAAAAATACCACAAGAACAAATGAAAGTATATAATATCTCTACCTGCGTGAAAGTCTATAGCAGATGCTAGAGATATTTTAGATATAGAAGCTAGGGCTACTTGAGATGGTGTCTCCAGAGTAAATCCTTGAATATCAGATTCTGTAGAATATAACATGAATGATGTGATGCCTGAAACACAGAAATACAACAAATTATCAGACTAAGTCACAGCTCTTTAATTTCATTTCATTTAAATGAAATAAAATGGAATGAGTTTCCTATCCTACCCAATAGGTTTCAGCACAATGTTGTTAGTAGATATATAGCATAAATTATTCTTACAACCTAGAATATTTGGTTATATCATTATGGTTCAGATTTGTATAAATATCTACAGATATGCCAAATTTTCTTTTGCCCAGGTTGCAATTCTTAAATATTAGTGATCCAAAAAATAGATAAAAAGTGACATTTTCGGCTTGCCCTAAACATGGTGAAATCACATCCATATAACAAATACGAGGAATAAAGTTAATGTAAGATATGAAAATATAAATAGAATAAACTTACCATGACAAGATGTCTGATCATCAGCTAATTTAAAACCAGCTGTACATTTACAGATTCTAGCAGTATGAGTTGGTAAACATAGCTGAGAACAACCACCATTATCTTTAGAACAACCATTAGATCCTGAAACACAATATTATCAACAGTGACAGGTTGTATCTCAGTCCGTTAGAGTGTTAGAATTTGAAGAATAATTGGAATGATGTAAGTAAAAACCAAATACTCAGATACAAAGTAAATCTTTTTATAATTCCTTCAAGTCATTCTGTTGTACAGTTGGTTAGAGCGTTGAACTTTCACATGATGTCATTTGCTTGCTTACATCAAACAAATGATGGTTGTTGGTTTCTTATCTTTGTCAGCATGTGAAAGTCTGGCGATGTAGAATAGGTCATTATTCTAGTCAACCCAGCTGTAAATGGACTGGTCAAAGACCAATTGGTACATAGGATTCCCTAAATTTCATATGGCTACATAAAAGTAAACTCAGTTGAATCAGGGAAAGATCACTAAAAATAAGTTTGGCCAAGGACAAGTTTGTAGAAAGATTCTCATGAGTCTAAGGCGAGATTAAAAAAAAAGCCTTCAATTTAATTAGGGCCGGATGATACACAGTCCTAGACCTAGATAAAAACCACTCACCATCCTTGCCACGTTCAGTGTTATATATCTGTATAGCTGAAATATCTGGTGTATTAGTTCTCATGACAACTTTCTTATAACTTTTATCTATCCTCATTATACTGTTGGCACTTTTATTCTTCTTATCAGAACTATACACATAGATCTCATCTTCAAATATCGTCATGGAAACCAGTAGATTATCATCAAAACTCACATTCAACTTTTCACACTGTCCTAGTAGTACATCTAACGGACATCTATGAATGGTGCTTTTTTCTTGGTTAATCCAGTAAAGTGCATGACTTCTAGTATCTACCGTGAGACCTACAAATAATAAAAAGTTCTAATTAATTGTGAAGTCCTATATATGTTGGTTTATAGATGGCATCTGCTTTCAGCGTACTGATATCACAAACTGAGTAGTTGTTAATAGTCGTTGCTCAGTGGCAGCACCTGTGGGGGTACAGCAATCGAACTTCCCCCCCCCCCTTCAAGAAAAAAAAAAGAAGAAGAAGAAGAAATTTCAAAATATTATGACTATGATACATTTCTACTCTACAATATGTGAATGCACCAAATCCATTATGTTTTCAAAACTTTTCTGCAAACCTTGAAGAACCCCATGAGAACCTGTATGTGAGGCTCGTGACTCTAGTGTTTGAAATCTCAACCCCAACAATTGTACCTCATTAAGTCAGTCTGTCTCCCTATTCGTACCTCCAGTTCCAGATCAGTTCTATTATATATATAAAATACTATTTATAATTTAATATGTAATAGTTAGTATTGAAATATGAAGGTGGTTATTTTACAGATACTTACTGGCTGGTTTAAAAGTATTATTAACTAAAACTCTCTGATCTGAACCATCCATATTAGCTTTGATTATTTTATGTTGAGATCCTCCAACATCAGACCAAAACATTAATCTGAAAAAAAAATCATGTTTTACCTTTCAGCAAAGCAGAGGATAATGAGGAAGGGCCGTTGTGTAAGTGTTCATAGAAGGTAACAGCTAATGAACGTTTCATATGAGGAAGTATATCAACCATTAGTGTGTAAGTATTTCATAATGAAAAGTATCAGGTGTCTAGAAGAGTAAGCATACCTTGCCTACTCTTTTTAGATTTTCTAGCCATCATCTTTAAAGAGCACAGTCTATAGCACACAGGTCCTTGGATTCTTGTATCATCTAAACAACTAAGCACTTTTTCTATATCAGCCCTCAATGTTCAAAGAGTTTTCTTACTTATCATTTCTACTCAAATATCTAAATTCTACTTACCCTTTTCCAGGATGAATGGCCAATGAATTCAACTGTTTTAAATTCTGTGAGATAATTTCAGTGCGGAAGGCGCCATTTAGTTTAGCCACAGAAATGGTGGAGGAATCTTTATCTTTGTTGTAGGATGAGAAATACATGTTTCTAGAAAGATAATCGATGGCAAATCCCTTTGGATTGGAGAGACCTGAATCTATCACAGTTTCTACTCCGGAACCATTAAGACTAGCACTGTTGATAACATTCCTGGCTTCGTCAGTCCAATATAAACGCTGTTCTTTAAGATCATAGTCTATAGCTGTAGCAGTGGAGGTAGAATTCTCTACAAAACGTACTGTTATAGATGGTATTACATTATAATTAGCATGTTGTAAATCTACTCCTCTAATTTCATTCTTTTTTACAAATATCAAGAATTTATTATCCTCTGAAAGAAAACAACCAATAATATTAAAGGGAGATGCACCAATTTTGGGGGGTTGATTTTGTCTTGAATATACGTAAAAAGTATTTGTTTCAAAATATCTCAAACTTTTTCCTATTTCTATAGATGTCTTTTCTATATATGTTTAGCTGTTTATCACTATTACTGATTGGCTTAGCTCAAAAAATTCCTCTTTCTGAGACTGGGGTACGGTACAATTAGTAACAAAAATGGCGCAACTTCATTAGCCCTATCAGATGCAGAAAGTAAGCTACATACAACCCCATTTCACTTCCTACTTTCTTGTACCTGATTGGGCTAATGAAGGAACATAATGCTGTGTACAATGAGGGAAATTTTACCAAGATAGCAGCATTAGCTTAGTCTTGTTTGATTTCCAACTGTCGAGAGATCTTTTACGTAAAGAGCCTGTAGGACACAGGGCCTCTCTAATTGGCTCATCTGAATGACTAGTGGCTTGGGTCATGTAAGCTCTACCCACCTGCATCAGATTCACTGACAGGAAGAAACTGGGTTGAAAAATTCAAAGTATTGAATAGGCAATGGACACTATTTTTACATATTTGACTAGCCTACAGAATCAAAGCTGTTGCCAAACAAATGAACATTTGAGCTGGTCAGCCAGTCATGTCTGGAAAATACAACATCCCTGAAATAGCTTCTTCAAACTTACCGTCACAAGAATGTTGATCAGCGTTTAACTTCATTCTATGAGGACACTGACAGTCTGCTGTCGTATTGCCAGTTTTATCAGGGAAACCAATCAAACAGAGATGTGAACAACCTCCATTTTGAATTTCACATGGATTGTAGGCTGAAACATAAAATATAGACTTTCATTCATTTTGTTTGACAATGATAATATTAACTATATTGGATTACCTAGCAAGGGTGTAGTAACTCTGGTTATGTTCAAAACAAAGCCAAGATTTAGCTATCTGTTTGAGAATATGTCTCTAAGGGTCATACAGTTACATTTGTAACATGGCATCCTTAACACGACCTCGAGAGTTTCTGACACAACTCTTCTACACATACAGAGTCCTTGTAACTCAGTGAGGTCTCCATACAGTATCAGGTGCAACTAGAGGAGGCCAAGTAGGAGTCAAATAAGAGTGGTGAGAGTGCCACAAGAGCTACCACGCCAATGGATCTCAATAACCCCCTAAGTCTGGAACAATCATGACAGATGTGGAAATGGAAACACAATATGGTTGCCTAGGTTACAGTATGAGGACAGCATTTGAGAGTGAAATGATGTAGTGTAGGATCCTTATTCTTATTTTATAATCTACTCCTAGTCCAAGTCCATCTATTAGACAATTATTTCTTTGTGTTTGATTATCAAGTCTACATTATTTGAGCTATTGAATGCAGGCATGATATTCAAGTCTATATCAGAATTGTAATTTTAACTATGAAATAAAAAAGCTGGACGTTCGATTTCTTTAAATTGAAGCCAACTCTCCTACGATTAGAGACTTTATCTCATGTTTTCATCACATCTACTCTCAACTTGATACAGTCTCTATAAGATGTAATAGCTGTAGCCTATAACCTTTATGAAATGTTAACTCACCATCAGGTTGTCTATTAGGGTGGAAGACCTGAACATCAAATGGTTGTGTAAATGTTTTCTGTATCTCTGTTACATCAGAACCATTAAATTTATTAGCCTACAATAATATAATATAGGTTTATATTTCAAATATTCATACCAGATCTACCATATTATAGAATAAGAAACAGGCCTCCTCATTTAATATCAATAATCAATATTCAGGTGGCTTGAGGGATGCTAAAAGCTCCATAAAAACAGGCAATGCCATGCAGTGTGTAATGATGGAAATTTTTTCAGGACATCAGCATTTAAATTAGCTTACTCTATTTCGATTTCCAACTGTCACAGGATCTTTATTGTGCATAGCATTGATTTAGTACAAAGTTTCTTGGTTAATTGTCCCATCTAAACAACTAGACACTTTTTCAATTCCAGCTCCTGATACCTATATCACTGACATAGTGAAACTGTTTGATGTTCTATGTATGAGGATAGTTAACCAGTATTCAGTATATAATAAATAATTGTATATACTAACCCTCAATACAGAATTAGTCCTCCAGTCAGTCCAATATACATAGTGTTCAAATACTGACACTGAGAATGGTTGAGCTAGATATTCATGACTTTTTAATATCAATCTGTGGTCCTTTCCTTCATATGTCATAGAATGCAGTGAATCAGATCTGAAATACAAACCAATGGCACAGCAATTAAATACTCTTGTCATCTTAACAAACTAACAGACAATTCATAATGAATTCTATAAGCCTAGACAAACAACATTCTGGATTTTTAAGTTGTTAAATCTTTGAAAGCAATCTTATTTGTACAATCTGTTGAAAAGAAATTGAGATTTTATTTTGGTTGTTTACCTCAGACCGTCCCATGTTTCTGGTTAAGAAAAAGAATTCAGTTTGAGTAACACCTCTGATTCGTGATCCAATTCTGATACCCAGGTCAGGTACATAGTTTCCTATATGTTGTTGTAATATCAATTGACTTAGGATTCAATATGATGCTGGTTTGTAGTTCAGATGGATAAAGTTTTTGATTCTTTGCCAAGCTACATTAAGTAAATGGTTGTCTTAGGTTCTAATCTCGGTCAGATTGTGAAAGTCTGGTGTTTTAGTTTTTGATTTTGGCCAAAGATCAGTTGATCCTCATCAACCTAGGTTATTATTGTAGTAAATGATAGTAAAAATTCTACTGTACTAACCTTGCATCAACCCAATAAATTCTGTTGACTTCATAATCTAATGTCATACCATTAGGCCAGCCTCCTAGATCAAAATTACTTCGAACATCAAATAATACTTTCCTACCCTTACCACTCATAGAACATGTCTCAATCCTAGGAAACCTTCCATCCCAATCACTCCAAAATAGAGCTCTGAAATTAACAAATTATATTAATTTATAATAATCTAATCTTTAGATCTAGATCATTAGGCCTGGCCTTTCTAGCCCTTTAAAATTTAACTACTATTAAAGAGGTTTTGTGTGTGTGTGTGTGTGTGTGTGTGTGTGTGTATCACAGACACTGATAGCATTGATTTGTACCATTCTGATATCCTAATAAAAAATGAAACCAAAATAAAAATTCAGACATCTGTGGTTCTTGCTGTTACCAATGTGATGTCATATACAGTTCAGTATTTCTATAATTGCAGGAATCACCAATATCTGAAGGAAAATTGGAATAATAAAAATCAATGCTATCAGTATGGAAGACATTCTAAACCCTGTTCCAACTTGTTTTAATAAATCAATAGTAACAGTTGGAAGTCTACAATCAAGCACCATCTATATATTAAACAGATCTACCTACCCATATCTAGGATCTAGTACTATAGCTCTAGGACTAGTCATGTTACCAGCTATCAGAGTACGTCTGTTGGTACCGTTAAACTCTGCCACCTCTATCTGATCTAGATTACTCTCTACCCAATATATCTTATTACTAATCCAATCTACTGCTAATCCTTCTGTTGTAGCTAATCCCACATTTACTATTGTCTTCAGATTCGTTAATGCTACAAAACAATGAGTAAATAATTACTGAAAGAATTTGACTACTCCTGTATACTACCTCTTAGGATGACCAAATAATCAAATTTTAAACTTGGCTAAAATGAGTCTTTGTTCATCAGTGGCCTTACCTGGTGTCATAACTACAACAGAATCCCTCTTTAATCAAACACATCCATAAAACTTACTATAATCCATAAAACTAAGTAATATTTCATTTAGCTAAGTAATTTTGAAACATGCTTAGAAGCGTTTTTAAATAATTATTTAGTTTCATGGATAAATCGTCTCATATAGAAATTCTATTCTATTAAGTCCAGCTGATGAATATATATACTTATTGACCAAGTTTAATGTCCATTCTAAGAGGTAGTATTCCTGTAATAGCCCAGCAACTCCATTGTAGATGATAGTGCTGGGTATAGCAATCATGATATAAGACATATTACAATATAACTGTATGTTGTATTGTGATGTAACAATTCAATGATATATACTGCCAGAATTAGTTAATCAGATACTAAATTATTACAAAATAAAAACACAATGTGGACTCTCTGGAAGTTTTTTACAAGTGAATATCAGTCACATACTTATATATTTGACAGCAATTAGGGGTTGTATTCATGTTGGATTATTTGCGATTGGGAATTTTTTGTTTCGGATTACTAAATTCCAATCAAAAACACCATGTGGACCCTCTGAAAGTTTTTTACAAGAGAATATCCAGTCACAAACTGATATTGTGTAACAGTGAAATAGTTTAGTTGGTAGTGAGATGAATTGTTGTTTGCTAGGTTATTGGGGTGAAATATTCAAGAAGTTTTTGTCTCAGAAAGGAATATGAGGTCATGCATATTATTAGTAGACACATATTACATTCTTCTTTTAAAATTTCAAACATTTCATTAGTTTCTAGAATATGTTATAAAGAAAAGTTGATCAAGATATCCATGCTGTTATTTAATACAGAATTTTCATAAACTCAAACCAAGATAGGCATGAGTTAGATTACTTATCTATATTCATTGAAATAATACAGACCTAATCTGTCCATTTCATATAATGGTCGTACTCCACAAGTGTGTTTATAGGTTTTCTATATTGAAGAATGTCATTTGACTTTTATTAATACTATTTTGTTAACGTTGTAACGTCACAAGTAATTGTTATCCATATAATTGTGTCCCACTTGAGAAAGATATTTTGTTAACTGTTGACAGTTCAGATAAAACACATAATTCATCATATTAATATAGATTAGACCTATGTTCATATACTCTTTTGTGGAATTCCCTTTGTAATGAGATATTTATAAACATATGATGACATCGGTCAACTTATAACTAACGCTTAATTTGTCTTCAAATCCATGGTTTAATACTTATATTTATATTCAATGTTTTGAATTGGATTGTAAAGAGGTTTTTTAGACTTTTACGTTTATTGAAGACACTGATAGCATCGATTTGCACCATTCCAATTTCCAATCAGATGTCTGTGATTCCTGCAATTCCACTAACACTAAGTATTTTATGACTTTTCTATGGCAAAGGCTTTTAAAAATTAATGCAGCGTTTATAAAATTGACGTCGTTCAGCATTTCTACAATTACAAGAACAACAGAATGATGTCTTACTGACAATATGACTAGTGTAAATTGATGTTGTCAGTGGTTTGTATACACATATTAAAATTAGAATCTGTTTTTAATATAGTGATAGTGTACTGGTACATGTAAAATATATCATGGTTGACCGCTTGAAACCTTGTATGATGTGAAATTACTTTTAGAGAAAAACGCAAAAAACTATTTGTATGCAGATTTTATCAAAATCTTTTCTGTTATTTTTTTACCGCTATATGTGGTTATCATTCTTTGAAAATATAAACCTTGTATAAAAGTATAAAAGTATTTCTGTATACATCTGCAGAAAAAGGAACATTGAACCTCGTATAATAATATATTTTACAAGGTTTTAAATCTGACTGTTTATATACTTGTTATTTAATTGGTGTTTTTTTGGTTTATTTACTATCAAGCTAGGAATATGAGGTTTTATCCACACTTTTACAAGCTTTTGAACAGTAACAAAAGTCAAAATGACCAAATCTGGCATATACGAGGTTTCAAGCGGTCACCCATGATATATTATATCTTGACCCAACACCTGTATATGACTGTTTAAAAAGGAATACAGAAACCATGATAATTTAGCTAAGCAAATAAACTTTAACAGTTCCTATAAATCATAACAATTGAGCAAATCTCTTTTCAATGAGTGTTTCTTGGTGATCTATTGTTGCAGTGGCGGCAGAAGAAAAATGGTTTGCACCCCCAATAGAACCACCACTTTATTTTAAACAAATATAAAAATATGATAATCATACGTTTTTGCCAAAAATATCTCATATTCTTCATGAATTCGCTATGATCCCTCCATAGAGTTGCCACATTTTGAATTCGGCCTTCACAGTTGTCCCCCCAGTACTTACATTTGTACTACCAATCTCTGACTGTTAGATCACCTAGCCTAATTGTAGACAAACATGATACGAATTCCTACTTGCTAAGAGGAAAACGTCAGTACCTAGCCTATATAAAGAGGCTGACATGACCTTTAATAATAACTCAAAATGCAACCAGAATCATTTTCAGTTTTAGCATTTTCATATCACATTATACCATGCAAATTATTGTCAAATTCTAGGCAATGTCATAGATCTCTTACAAAGTACAACAAGTCTATATTATAATAAAGATCATTACTCAATTCTCAAGTTATAGAAATCAAAACACAAAAGAACTCAAATTGCAAAATAACATGCTGAAACAAAAGAAAATAAACAAAATCTGAAAAGAAAAAGTCAAAATGCTTGAATGATTCTGTGTTCACACCATAACACATTCAGAAGATTATTGATAGTATTTGAAGTGAACACTTCAATGTGTTTGATACAATAATGTGAACACCATACATGTACAATTCTATCAAGCAACAAAATAAAGGAGGTACCTTTAGGGGGTACAGTTAACTCAGATACTGAAAAAAATGGGACAAAAATAAAAAAAAATATAATCACAGATCAGATCGTTAGTACTTGGTTTATTTAATCTACCGGTAGTACTTTACAAAATTTGAATAAAAAATTGAAAATAATTCAGGAGGCAAAAAAAAAATACAAAAATACAACAATTCTAAATTACTAACATTTGACAATTTAGTAGGAAAAATGAAAATGTCTACACAACAGACCATAAAGAGATTGTAAAAAGATTTTCAAATCATTTTATGTGTATAAAAGACACTGATAGCATCCATTTATACCATTACAATTTTCAATTAGACATCTGTGGTTCCTGGTTTGATCAAGTCTTAAACTCAGTGCTTTATTAAATCAAACATGTTCTTATATATTATTAGCAGTTTGTGCGAAAACACCTAGTTTAAGTTGAATTACAAGAACCTTTGACATGTGACTGAAAATTGGAATGGTACAAATTGATGTTATCAGTGTTCCAGATAGACATAAAAATTTAGAAAACCTCTTTACAATCTCTTTAAGAAAGAAATATCAGGATTATGTTTTATCTGTTGAACCCTTCCTTTCCTTTCAATCAATATTTGATGAACAGAATTCTGCCTCAATAAAAATATAAACAATCCACAGAGCGAGTACAAAATAATGAAACTTACTGTTTTGAATCATTTTTCCTCTAAATATTTTATCTTCTATTACGTCTGTCCAGAATATATATTGTTTTTTATAGTGGTAATCTAACGCTATAGTATTACGTAACCCAGCAACCAAGGAAACGTAACTCTTCTCTCCTAGATCAACTCGTCTCATTTCATGTCGGTTGGAATAAATCAGATGAACTGGTTGAACTGCAATCAGATTGAAATGAAAATTATTATTATTGTTAATGTAAGAAAATATTTGTGGTCTGATTCCCATTGGTCTGGATAATCTTACCATTTGATTCTAGACTATAGTGTATTGTTGCTGTTGCCTATTTGAAGATTTATGACATAAAAAACTAAAAAAAATTAGTTCATTTTGTTGAGACTTTCCAGTTTCAAACAGTAGTTCAGTTAATGCCGAGCTTTTTACAAGTCAGTCAACTTAGCTCTTGATATGGTAAATAAGTCTGACACGTTTCAACCACTCTTTTTACAAGGCGGTCAACTATGTCCCTAATCTGAATCTGGTAACTAAGTCAGACATGTTTTAACCACTACAATAACACGGAGGTCATCTATGTTGGTTTTCATCTGGTAACTTGTTTTGTACTTACCATTAGGTTTACAGCTAAAACCATCTAACTGTAATGTATAGGTATCTTTACATAGACATCTATAACCATCTGGTTTACTGATATCAGCTACACATAGCTGACTACAAATACCCCATTGTGAACATACATCAGTTTCTATAATATATCATTTATATCAAATATTAGTCCTATTATGGTGATAAAGGTTAAGGCAGACACTAAATACATCTTACTTCGAATAAAATTTGAATCAACAACTAGTCGTTGGGATGTTCAATAAACTAAGGTTCCTAGTCTTACGGTCTGTAAACTTTCTCCATCCCTGGACAAGTGGATTGTTAAGTTTAAAGTTAGACTGATTGTCACTATGTTTGAAATATAATGCACACCAGGGCTGTTGAGTGTTGTATTTGCCAGTCATGTCTGATTGAAGCTCAAAAATGACTGGTTGCATTTTGATCCATAGGACATTTACCTGGTATATACCTATAGAGTACCATATTTTTTGCATACATTCTGATGAAAAGTAGGAAAAGATCTTTGTTTACGTGTTAAAATTTCTGGTTGGGGATTTCTAAAATCAACATCCCTGATACACACCTCTATTGTCTGAGCAAAGTAAAAAAGTTTTTCTGTATTTTTTAAGAAAATGGGAATATCAGCCTAAATATAGTACTGTTGGTCTAAGAATTTTGTTGCATTGCTAAAAAATAAGATTTAATTGAAAAGAAAAACATTTCTCTTCAATTTCTGCTGAAAATTTTGAAGACATATTGTGTGCTTATGTTTATATTTTTATTACCTCAGAGACATTTTAAGACTAACAGTACTATTTTGAGGCTGCTATTCCAATTCTCATTAAAATAATAGATAAAAATTAAAAAAAACCCCTTTACTTTACTCAGACAATAAAAACTAGTGTGATATACAAGAAGATCTTAGTTTGATGATACAATTTATTGAATTGCTGACAGTTATTATATAGTCACACGCCTCCTTCACCCTAAATATATCATGAAAAAATCTTGGTTTATACTAACTTTGACATGTTTTATTATCTGAACCAATATGTTGATTTTCAGGACAGGAACAAACATAGCGGTAAAAATCACCAGGTGGAGCTGGAGCAGAATGACAAAAATGGCTACATTCATGGTCCTGACAAACTTTTACAGCTGGAAATTAAAAAAATATTCCAGTCAAATATTTCACCATTCTTTTCAAAACTAGAGAGTGTTAGTATTTGACATCACTCAACTTTCAAGTTTCTTAATTCCAATCTTCAATGATTTTGTTGATAGGTTAATGTACACGTACATGTTCTTACCTCAGTCAACATCCCCCTCACTCCCCAACATCCCCCTCACTCACCAACATCCTTCTCACTCCCCAACATCCTTCACACTCTCCAACATCCTTCTCACTCCCCAACATCCCCCTCACACCCCAACATCTTTCTCACTCCCCAACATCCTTCTCACTCTCCAACATCCTTCACACTCTCCAACATCCTTTTCACTCTCCAACATCCTTCTCACTCCCCAACATCCCCTTTACTCCCCAACATCCTTCTCACTCCCCAATATCCCCCTCACTCCCCAACATCCTTCTCACTTCCCAACATCCCCCTCACTCCCCAACATCCTTCTCACTCCCCAACATCCTTCTCACTCCCCAACATCCTTCTCACTCTCCAACATCCTTCTCACTCCCCATGGTAGAGGAAATACTTACAACACAATGATCTTGGTTCATCTGAGTGATCATCACAGTCTAAAACACCATCACAATATTTGACTGGTGATAAACAAACTTCCTTCTGTTTTACCACACATTTAAAATTAGGATAGCTACACTCCAACGCTGTAAATAAACAAATTATAAATTACATAAACAAATAATAAACAAACAAAATATAAACAAACAAAATAATAAATAAACAAATGATAAATAAACAAATTATAAACAAACAAAATATAAATAAACAAAATAATAAATATACAAATGATAAATAAACAAATAATAAACAAACAAAATATAAATAAACAAAATAATAAATATACAAATGATAAATAAACAAATAATAAATAAACAAATAATAAATAAACAAATAATAAAAAAATAAATCATAAATAAACAAATCATAACAATAAATAAACAAGTTATAAATGGTACTTCATGAAAAATCCCTCAATAAAAAGTTGTTTATTATTGGTCACCCGATATATAGACCTTCCTGATAGTGGCACATCACCATCATTGAAATTTTGGACTCACCACATTGAGAGACATGTTCATCAGACCCGTCACCACAATCTTCATCTCCGTCACATTTCCACGCTCCTGGTATACACTGGTTAGTACTGTTACATTTAAACTCTGTAGAATAACATGATCTAGTTTGACCTGTAATAAACACAAAAATAGAAATTACAAGGATAACAACTTAGGTTCACAGTTAAGGATCCTTTCTACCAGATGGTCCTTGTCCAAACCTCTTTGCATTGATCATTCCCGCATTATCCATACCCATTTACAGCTAGGTCGACTGGAATAATCAGTGAAGATGACTTATTTAACAACCCACAACCGCCATTTGTAACTAAACATTAAAAATAAAAACAAAAGTTTGGTTTTAATTAAGCTGTCACTGACCATGTTTTTTTTTTCAAATTTCAATTGTAGGAAAATTGAAAAATAAAAAACTTACCACACATGTCTTTATCTTCATCACTTTGATCAGAACAATCAAAATCACCATCACATTTCCAGACCTGGATGATACATTCACCATTTTTACACTGGTATTCCTTATCATGACATATTTTCTTATCTAAATAAAGTTTAAATTGTTATTAAAAACATCAAACATTAATATACTATCTAAACCTTGCAAGACAGGTTGTATTAAGGTGGAAATAGACGATGTATGGTGTTGGGTGTGGAATTATTGATACAGTAGAAAATAGAACAAGTGAACACACAAGGTATAGGTCCAGACATGATTCTACTGTATTGTAAATTTAGTACCAGACACCATACATTGTCTTTTTCCACCATTGTCAGTTGGGCATCAACGTCCTAGGAAATCCATTTGACCAAGGGTAGAGAGGTGCGCAAAATGGACCGTACATCGTCTTAGTTTTCTGGAATTCCTTATGTTTTTAGACATTATTAAAAGATACAAAATATTCATATACTACCAACTGGCTAGTCTGAGACAGCCTTACTTTTACTGCGTTTGTTTTGGTAGCATATCAGGGTTGTCAAAATAAAGTTTTGTTTTACTACCTTCTTTTATCTTTCATACAGGCAATGTTATGCAGTTTGCAATGAGGGAAATTAAGCCAGGACAGTCTGCTCTCTTATTATACCAACTCTTACATGTACAGCACAAGACCTTGGTTTATTGTTCCATCTCTTTGCAAATTTACAATAGTGATGTCAAAATATTCAAATAAAGTGACTACAGATACCTGACTGCAAATTGATACTATTAGTGTTCATGATACACGAAAATCTCTTTTCAATCTCAAATTAACTTACTACATTGTTCTTCATCAGAACCATCTTTACACTGTCTGATACCATCACATACAAAATGTTTCTTAATACATGTAATTTTATCAGCACAACTAAATTCTTTCAATGGATCACACCAGTTAGTACAATCAAGCTGAAAATTAATGTAATGTTTCAATAATTTCTCTTTTTTTAAAACTTGTATTGTAGTATGGGCTAATGGTAACTGGTGACACTGTGCAGTGTGCAATAAGGGAAATTTTGCCAGGACAGTGGTATTAACATATAACCTACTCTTTTAGATTTTCAACTGTCTTGATGCAACTTGTTGGATCCACTATAGTGAGCCATGTAAATGAAAGTAGAGGCGCTGCTAGTGATGAATGAGTTAAAGGGACAGATGCACCACTTTTGGGGGTTAATTTTAAACTTGAATATAATGTAAATAGTCTTCAAAATTAATAAAAATGAATGAAAATCGTATAATTCCTTTAAAAAACCTTCAAACTAAGGATTTTACTCACTATTTCCATATATATCTTTTCTATATATCACAGTGTATCTTAAAATGACCCTGTCGTCACTTTAACATTCAAACGAGGATAATTCTGAATACACAGGGATTTGAAGGCTCAAATTTTGACTGTGGACAGTGAGTGTAAACACTATTATTGATTGGCTTAGCTCAAACAATTCCCGTTTCTGAGACTAAGGTCTGATTGGTAAAAAAAAAATGGCACATCCGTCCCTTTAAAGGATTTTTTCAAAACATATGGAAAGGCTTTATATCCCTTAAATACTTGGAAGGGTTAAAGGATTATGTCCCTTAGAAAGGCTCTACATACCTCATCTGAATGGTCAGGGCAGTCATATTCATTATCACATCTATACATATAGGGTATACAGTGTCCATACGCACATTGAAACTGATCAGCTACACACTTGGCAGTATCTAAATAAAATATATATAATACACTATCATACATTAACTAGTCATTTTTAAAATACTACAGATAAACCTTTCAAAAGAAATGACCATTTTATATATAAAATAACAACTTAGGTACATGATGATCCTTTTAAACAGCTGGTAAAATGTTATAATTAGAATTTGTTGTAAGAATGGAATGTTAGATTGAGAAAATAATACATTCTCATACCACATTTAGCAGCGTCTTCATCAGAACCATCAACACAATCAGCCTCTTTATCACAAACCCAAGCAGACGGTATACATCTATTACTGGTAGTACCACATGATGTATAGTTGGCTTGACAATCTCGACTTTTACCTACAAAATTCAATGCCATTAAGTGTGCAATGACAGTAATTTTGCCAGTCCAGTAGCATAAACCTATTACATTTCCAACTGTGAAGGGATATTCAACACAAGATATCATGGTGTCTGCTTGATGCCAACTTGATTTTTCCCTCCAGGCATATTATTTAAGAAATTTACCAATAATCTTTACTAGTTTTGATAGAATTTTAACATTTTGTCCTTTAAGTTGTAAAACCGTTTGAACACTGAGTATGAATAAAATAATATTTCATATCAACTAATAGTATATGACAAAAAGTGGATGATTTTAAAGGGACAGATGCACCATTTTGGAGGTTGATTTTAGTCTTGAAAATATGTAAATAGTCTTAAGAAGTACTAGAAATGTACTAAGATCTTTATATGTCTTTTCTATCACAGAGTATTTTAAATTGACAAGTCGTCATTTTAACAGTCAAACGCAGATAAATCTTGACACACATGGATTTGAAGGCTTAAATATTTCCTGTTTCAGAGACTAAAGTATGATTGGTCAAAAAGAATGGCGCATCTGTCCCTTAAATATTAAGTGATGTAATTTGGTAATGGAGGCTTCACTGGCTGCTGGGGTAGGTCTATATATCATGTATATAACAGATATGGTGCTGAAAGGATTAAAGATTTTACTCACTCCCACAGCCTTCTTCATCTTCACCATTAGGACAATCTATTTCACCATCACAACGGAGTTGCTCTTCTTTTAGACATGGCTTGTTCTCACTCTTTTGACATTGAAAAGTTTCACATGGCACATCTACTGAAACAATACGAAATAAAATGCCTTATTTTTTTTTTCATCCACAGTATAGAATTGTACAGAATATATTTTTGGAAGGTTAAAAGGCTTATAGAGAGGTTTTCTAGCTTTTTTGATACACATCAAGGCCATTTATGGCTTCTTTTTACAACTTTCTGTCAGATGTCTGTGATTCTTGTAATTATAGAAATGGTTATTAATAACTGTTATTACCAGCCTTTGTTATAGTGACATCATAAAACCATCAGTTTTATTGAAATTGTAAGAATCACAGACATCATTGGAATAGTGCAAATTGATGCTATTAGTGTCCCTGATACACATAACAAGTTATATAACTGATGTTGCATCTTCTCTAAACCAGAAGTTTTAAGCTGCTGAATAAATGATGTAATATAAAACAGATTGAGAAATATATTAAAATAAATCATACCACAAGTTCCTCCATCACTATGATCTTCATCTGACCCATCTAAACAATCTCTTTCACCATCACACTTCCACAGAATATTGATACAACTTTCATCTTTACATGTGAACTCTCTATCTTTATTACATGGGGCTGGTGGCTTATAGTTTGGATTGGCTACAACAATAATAAATCAATGATAAATACTGTGCAATGAGGGAAATTTTTTCAAAACTCTTCCATTTAATCACCTACGCTCATCAGTGATTAAACGGAAGATGTTATGGGAAACCTCTGGTGATATATTTCAACAGAAGATATTCATTACGAGGCTATCGGTGGTTGTGGGTTTTAAACTTGGTTGTTGTACCTGGGACAGTGAATAAATCATCTTACGTCATTTTTCCCAGTTGACTCAGCTATAAATGGGTATGGATAATCCGGGAAAGATCAATGCCAAGAGGTTTGACCAAGAGCCAGCTGGTAGAAAGCAACCTAAGTTGTTATCCTTGTAAAAAATAGTCGTTTCTTTCTTACGAGGTCTGTCCATACTAGGCCTACTGGCAAAAGTATAAGGTTAACATCTGAAATGAGGCAGCCAATAAACGGAATAGGAAAAATTGAAAAATAATGTTTGTACCTTTACATGTTTTTTTGTCTGATTGAAGTAATCTGTCATCTGAACAGATACAAACAGAACCTGAAGGTACAGTCACACAGATATCTGTACATCCTCCATTATTAACAGCACAGTCTTTCTCTCCTGTAAATAATAACAGAATGTTTAATAGTTTATCTACACCTTGAAACAAAACTCAAAATTTCATATCCACCTAGCAACCTCCTCTAGAGTGTCTACAATACCAATATGATGATTTTAGTAGAGTTTGGCACCTAATTGGACTAATGAAAACATGTAATACCATGCAGTGTGCAACAAGGTAATTTTCATCAGGACAGGGGCATTAACTTACTCTTTTTTCTTCTTCATGTTCACAGCCTTTAACAAACAGGGCCTCGTGTATAATATGTTTTATACATAGAGTCTGTTTTAATATTGATCTACCAACATTGTAATACATTCTCTCACTAGAGCCCCTTGATCTTCTCCACAACATACCTTCTTGAGAGGGGAAAATGCCTGTAGATGTGGGTGTTATATGTAATAAAAACCCTGGATCATGTTTTATGCTATACATACCTTGTATAACTTGTTGTTGAGGATTATAGAGTTGTAAATCAAACAATGGATTACTATCATTACGTATTACTACAGTGTCTTTTGTTACCATATTGAATCTTTTAACTTGACCAGATAATGACTCAGTGAAAAACACATAGTTTTCAAATACTGCTATACCATACGGATGGTTCAAATGTTTGAACGAAACTATCACCTACAAGAAAACGAAATAAAATGGAGTTTTACGTCTACTTTACTTTTCTTAAAGTGCAGTGACAAAATGATTAGTTTCAGTTGATTTACAAGAACCACAGACGTCTGACTGAAAATTAGAATGGTGCAAATTTCATCAGTGTCCTTGATACACATAAAAAATTGAGAAAACCTTTGTACATGATATACTGAGTCAAGGGCAATAACTCTAACACATCTGTCTCATATATTGTGATCCCAGAACCTCGGCTCCCCTTTTGGGTTTTTACAGAGCACAAGTAGTGGTGGGGGTGGGGGGATGGAGAGGGTCAGGGCCTGCCTCTGGAATTTTTTATAATCTAGGAAGATGGAGAATGTGGAAATGAATAAATTTTTTTTATTTTTTTGACACCATGTCCCCCTTCCCTAACCCTCCAAATACCCCTATTAGATTTAGCAACTAATTTGAGAAGACATTAACTTACAGTTCTAGTAGTGGGGTCACCATTAGTTGAGATTTTCTCTATTCTATCATAGTAAGCATCAGTCCAATATATCATCTGTGTTGTATAATCTAATGTTAAACTATTCGGCCATTGTATATTCGTTTCTACCAATGTCTGATTGTTTTGACCATTCATTTCAGCCTTCACGATTCTAGATTTGATATTTTCTGATGGTTTTAACACCCAATCAGTCCAATACATATACCTGTAAATATTAACAATAACAATACATATACCTGTAAATATTAACAATAACAATAACAATACATATACCTGTAAATATTAACAATAACAATACATATACCTGTAAATATTAACAATAACAATAACAATACATATACCTGTAAATATTAACAATAACAATACATATACCTGTAAATATTAACAATAACAATACATATACCTGTAAATATTAACAATAACAATACATATACCTGTAAATATTAACAATAACAATACATATTAACAATAACAATACATATACCTGTAAATATTAACATTAACATCTCATAGTGGAGTAATCTATCAAGAATCTCGGTTTCTTCAAATGTTTCATGTTGTTGTAGTCATAGGAATGAAATGAAATACAGTTTGACCCCAAACTCGGCTTGATGATGGGCAATGCCATGCAATAAGCAACGAGGAAAACTTTGCAACAACAACAGCAACAGCCTACTCTGTTTTTTTATTTCCGACAGTCCCAACCATCACTAAAACCATGTTGAAAAACTCTGAAGTATCATCTTGATCTTCAGTAAGCGTCCAGATCAATGGTCTATCGTGCCCATTTCAAACATTAAGCCAATTTCTTGCGTAAACATTTGGCCAGCACTCAGCACAAAAAAGTACCCCAAATGTAAGAAGTTAGAAAAATCTTACCCCTTATTAGCATCAAGAACAATAGCTTTAGGATGATTCAAGTTTCTGATAACTGTATAACGTTTAGTGGTATCAGTCAGTCGAACTATATTAATAGTTTTATGGCCATCATCAGTCCAATATAAATTACGTCCAATCCAATCAATAGCTAGACCTTCCGAACTTGTTACACCTGTAATAAATGGTTCAAGGAATTTTCACAATATCTCCTTTAATCTTTTACATCTTACTTCTCTACAGCTGTTATCGGGACTAATCAGGACAGACAATACCATGCAGTGTGCATTGAGGGAAATATTTTCCAGGACAGCAACATTAGGCTTCTATTTTATGATTTACAACAGTCAAGGCATCTTTAAGATGTACAGTCTGAAGTACATAGGGCCGAGGTTTACTTGTCCCATCTGACTAGACGCTTTTTCCATGTCAGCACCCCTACCTATATCACAGAGTGACAGGGAGAAACCAGATTGAAAAATCAATGGTGGGATTGAAAGTAATTCAATCAATTCAACACTGCAATCTGTACTATATGGGGTATTCAGTAATAGGGGGGTTATGAGTTATGGGCCATGGAGTATGATTTTAAAATTTACCTGTATCCAGAAATTTCTCAGGTTCAGCATCAGTAGTGAAAGCTTTTCTACGTCCGATATGTAACAAACTAACATCAGAGTAATAGATATAACTTGTTTTATTATCATAAGCTATAGCCATTGGTCGGTTCAAGTTGATGATAGGTTCAATAACTTGTTTTGATTTCTCATCATCTTTCGATATACCCTGGATATTACCTTGTTGAGCGTTCGCATACAGAAGAAAGATTGAATCTTTGTTTTCTGAAAATCAAAATTCTTGTTTGAGTATTGATTAATACTGTATATTTGCAAGCATTTTTTACATTTAAAAGGGTTTGTCAAACAGTAAGGGTGTATTATAAATTATTACAAAATTTTGGGTCAGCCATTTTGTAATTAACTACTGATTGTTGAAAGCGGTAAAATGGAAGACCCCCAATTCCCAAATGACAGTCCTGTCACTGTCACAGTATTGGGGATACAATGGGGAACAACTGTAGAGGCTGAATTCAAAATGCAGAAATTCTCTGGAGGCCTCTTGTCACCAACATCTCATGAAGGGAGATGGTTTCACCTAAGTAACTTTTCAAAACTAGAATTGATTTGGTGCATTCGGACACATATTTTGGGGCAAAAATATAATATAAATTTCCTACGTTTTAATTTGTTTGTGGCTGAAAACCAACTGTGTCCACGAGTATTATTTGAAAAATGCAGGACTGCTATTTAAGTATATTTTTGAAAATGATTTTCTATTTTTCAATTTTGAATTGCAGTATATATATATATATATATATAGTGAAAATAGAAAAGTTAACTAACTTCGACAATTATTTCCATTCACAAGAGTGTAACCTGATCTACACATACAACTAGCTTGAACATTCTGGTTGTCAGTGTGTGGTACTGGTACACAAATATGATCACATTTCTTCTTTCCACAAACATTTTCACTCACTGTAATATATTAATATAAAATATCAGTATATAGTTGCCTGTTTTATTACACATAAAAAAGCCTGCCAAACCTTATATCTGAATATAAATTGTTAACAGCTTACTGCTATTATAACAATATAAAATATCTTGTTTATAGTTTCACGAACAGCAGCATGAACATAATTTAACTTAAAATATATAGTGTAATAAACTGTTCATTTACATGTATAGTGTGTAGCTTTTAACCCTACTTAGAGCTTACCAAACAAAATATCTGAACAATATAAAAATTGTCGACAGCTCACTGCCATGTTTGACTTCTCGTGTGTAGTTTTCTATTTTTTGTACCTTGTTTACCACTACATATACATACCTTGAGGTTGTTTTACTGGATGTATAATATGTATATCATTAGGTTTACCACTATATATACATACCTTGAGGTTGTTTAACTGGATGTATAATATGTATATCATTAGGTTTACCACTATATATACATACCTTGAGGTTGTTTTACTGGATGTATAATATGTATATCACTAGGTTTACCACTATATATACATACCTTGAGGTTGTTTTACTGGATGTATAATACGTATATCACTAGGTTTACCACTATATATACATACCTTGAGGTTGTTTTACTGGATGTATAATACGTATATCACTAGGTTTACCACTATATATACATACCTTGAGGTTGTTTTACTGGATGTATAATATGTATATCACTAGGTTTACCACTATATATACATACCTTGAGGTTGTTTTACTGGATGTATAATATGTATATCACTAGGTTTACCACTATATATACATACCTTGAGGTTGTTTTACTGGATGTATAATATGTATATCACTAGGTTTACCACTATATATACATACCTTGAGGTTGTTTTACTGGATGTATAATATGTATATCACTAGGTTTACCACTATATATACATATCTTGAGGTTGTTTTACTGGATGTATAATATGTATATCACTAGGTTTACCACTATATATACATACCTTGAGGTTGTTTTACTGGATGTATAATATGTATATCATTAGGTTTACCACTATATATACATACCTTGAGGTTGTTTTACTGGATGTATAATATGTATATCACTAGGTTTACCACTATATATACATACCTTGAGGTTGTTTTACTGGATGTATAATATGTATATCACTAGGTTTACCACTATATATACATACCTTGTGGTTGTTTTACTGGATGTATAATATGTATATCACTAGGTTTGGTTAACGTCTGTCTATTTATAACAGTCATATTATTTTGTTGAAATCTATGAACTCTAACTATACTGTTATTATGATGATTGGACACATACAGATAGTTCTCAAATAATGTTAAACCAAATACATGATCAACCTGCAAATACACATACACAATTATAAGTTGTATAACACAATAACCAAGAACCTTAAACATACAGTTCTAGCAGGTGCTGCTAGTAAATTCGGGGAATACCCACTCTTCCAGCACACCTAATACCACTCTGCAATTGAGAATCCCAGCTAATACTTTGTTTGGATTATTCATTACATGTACCAATAGGCTGTTGGCTCTGCTCTGCTGGCTCTCCTCTTGACTCTGATGGCTCAACTCTGCTCTGCTGACTCTGCTCTGATGTCAAGATTGTCCCTGAGTTCCTCCTCCGGAGCACACATATTCAATTACTTTTTAAACGATTTGATTCTAAGAATGAAACTTAATACAATAAACTATAGACTATAAAAGGAGCTTACATTTTCACCAATAGCAATAACTCGTCTGTTGTGACCATCATAATCTACTCGTTCAACATAATCTAGGAAAGAATCAGCCCAATAGACATGTTTATTAACATAATCTAGAGCCAAGCCATTGGGATGAACTATCTTTTTAATCACCAGCTTATGTCTATCACTCCCATCCATATTGGTTCTTTCTATTTTGGCCTCCATTGACCAATCAGCAAAGAATAAAAATCTGAAATAAAGTAACACACTTATATTGTATATTTTTGTGTATAGTGCTCAGTTTTTATCCCTAATAAAGGCTGCCCCAACTTCATCATATCTAATTGACTACTGGTAATGTTTTGAATACACAATCCTCATCAGGACAGCTAGTTATAGAAATGGAGGTTTATCTTCCAATGTAAGACTTAAATGTTAGATAATTGACTGGAGCTCATCTCATGCCTGCCAACATATTATGTTTCAGATACACAATCTTCATCAGGACAGTTAGTTTCATTGTTTATAATCTGCTACTATCAGAATTTATCTGTAAGAAACTTACCCTCTAGTTGGATCTAGTGCTAGACTTTTAGGTCGTTTGATATCAATATTAATTATATTAACACAGTGTACACCATTACCACTACATAGAAATATAGTTTCCTTTACATCATCAGCAAAATACCAGTTATCTCCTACCCAATCTCTAGCTACATGACTTACAGCTGAAATATCATTACACATATAGAGACAGAAACAAACAACTATATTTTACAATGATAACAAGGATCTTTTCTATCAGCTGGTCTTTGACCAAACCTCTTGGAATTTGTCTTTCCCAGATTATCAGTATCCATTTACATCTGGGTGTAATGGAATGAGGAAAGACTTATTCAAGGTCACCATATTTTTACATGCTAACCATAACCCACGACCATTTGTTCAAGGTAACCATGTTAATGACATTCTAACCGACTTTGCCCATCCTAAAAGAATCCTTTATAATAAAATTTGTCTCCATAAGGCAGACTTTTCTCTTAAGATAATAATCAACCTCTACTTACAGGTTAATTTATGATGAGTATGTATCTGCCATGTATGACTAGGATCTAATAAACTGACACATTTTAAATTAGATTCTGTTGATTTCACAAAGTTAACCTAAAACATATCAAACAGGATAATTATCATAGGACTATTAATTTTGTAGAGGTTGCCTCCTCCAATGTTTTTAAAATTACTCCATGTAATGATCAGCTTCAGGTAGATCCTGGTTAACTTTCCTTGATCCAACACAGCACAGAGTAAACCAACCTTATTAGTTTAATATGGATTAAATGGAAAATTGCACTTTTCTAGTTTTCAGCTGTTGATTATCAGAGCAATATTTATAGCTGATTACTAGTAACGTTTTAAGGGATCAGACCACTGGATGCAATTTGAGGGCCTAGAGAGAAAATTGAGTATACGTAGGGCGAGAGTAAAAAACAGTAAGTTGGTTATTGGGGGTCTGGGCAGAAGTAAACCCATTTATTTGTATGAGGGTCAAAAGTTGCTCAGTCCTTCCCTAGTGAAGACCCTCTTGTACTTGTACAAAATAACAATAATACTTACCCAGCAGACTGAGTTATTTTTAATATCAAAATCTAGTGTTTCTATTTGTGAACCATTCACTAAGTGTGGTTCTACTAGATTTCTACCATTTAAACTATATAGTTGTATATTGTTATAGTTAGCAAATATAATCCTGGCTGTATCTATAATTTAAATATAATTCACTTTTACACACTAGAAATTACATAAGCTTGCATTTTTTTAGCAAGTATAGTCGTTGCTTTTCCTGAAGGAAATATCTTTGAATAATATTTCTTTTTTCTGGAAGGCACAAATCAAATATGCCTAAATTTTTATCATATCACATGCTGTCGACATATTTCTGACACTCAATCCTTTTCAGGACAGCAAGTTTTGAAAATTTGAGTTAACTTTTCAATATTTGAATTAATGGTAGATAATTGACTAATGCTAACACATGTTTCAGATACAGATAACTCATCAGGACAGCTAGTTTCAGATTCTGGGTTAACTTTCCAAGATTGGAGATAGAGATTGTGACTGTAAAGTAAGGAGATTGTAAGGAAATCTGTCATAAGATCTCACTTTACAGGAGATGTGTCATAAGATCTCACTTTACAGGAGATGTGTCATAAGATCTCACACTACAGGAGATGTGTCATAAGATCTCACACTACAGGAGATGTGTCATAAGATCTCACACTACAGGAGATGTGTCATTAGATCTCACTCTACAGGAGATGTGTCATAAGATCTCACTCTACAGGAGATGTGTCATAAGATCTCACTCTACAGGAGATAAGTCATAAGATCTTACTCTAAAGGAGATGTGTCATTAGATCTCACTCTAAAGGAGATGTGTCATTAGATCTCACTCTCAATTAGTTGTGTCATTAGATCTCACTCTAAAGGAAATCTGTCAAAAGATCTCACTCTAAAGGAGATGTGTCATAAGATCTCACTCTACAGGAGATGTGTCGTAAGATCTCACTCTAAAGGAGATGTGTCCTAAGATCTCACTCTAAAGGAGATGTGTCATAAGATCTCACACTACAGGAGATGTGTCATAAGATCTCACTCTGCAGGAGATGTGTCATAAGATCTCACTCTGCAGGAGATGTGTCATAAGATCTCACTCTACAGGAGATGTGTCATAAGATCTCACTCTGCAGGAGATGTGTTATAAGATCTCACTCTACAGGAGATGTGTAATGTAAATATTGAACTCACCTCTATTATTAGCTAAACATCTTCCCTTGGTACCGTTATTACTATAACCTTCTTCACAGTTACATTCATAACTTCCATCATGATTCTCACAAAGTTGATCACAATATTCATTATATTTACATTCATTTATATCTGAAATATATAACATCAGTCTCCTGGCACTGGAGGTACAAATAGTGGGCAGACTGACAACCAACTGTGGTTTTAAGGTGTAAGCAGCATAGGCCATCGGTGGTCTAAAGACACATATATGGGGCAAAAGCATATAAATATACAACTGGGGGTACAAATAGGGGGCAGACCTGATGGGGGGTAACTGTTGTCTTAAGATTCCAGGTGTAAGCGGTCATTGAGGGTCTAAGGCAGTTCTTTTGAACCAAACAAAATTTATTTGGTGAATTCTGACACATATTTCTGCCACAAAAGAATAGAAAAAGACATATTTTGAAATTTTAATGAAGTGGGGGTATAATTATTTTATGGGGTGGGGGTGATAGTGGAAAGTTTTCTACTTACCCACACATATAGAATGATCTGTATCAAATTCATAATGATCAGGACAGTAACAGTGAGCACCTTGTAATGTTTCACGACACATTGGACATTTTTTATTATCCAGTAATAAATTCTTACATCCAGTATTTCCTGTAAAATATATTATACATATAGATTACTGATGGGTACAAATCATAACACATACAAATATTCATATTCATCAACTTTTCAAAGAGTTTATTTCTACCAGGGTTCTTGATCTAAAGCAGAGAGGTTTGTAAAAAGGTTTGCACTATTCCAATTTTCAGATATCAGATATCTCAGGGTCTTATACTCACAATAACCTCAGATATCAGATTGAAAATTGGAGCGACGTAAATAGATGCCATGAATTGACCAATATATCTAAAAAAGCTAAAAAAATATTTACCATCTCTTAAATTTTTGACTCATTAGATGATTAAAGACACAATTAAGATGTTTACAAACAAACAATAAAGTTAAGCAATTGCAAAATAGACCCAGCTAGAAATAGAACAACAATCGCTGGTTTAATGCACCGTTTCGACGTGTTTCCCCTTGTCATCCTCAGGTACAGAATGTCACTATATATAACAAGTAAAACTTACTACAATGTGAACCCTCATCAGCTCTGTCTTCCAAACAATCGATGATTCCATCACAAACCTGCTCATAATGGATACAGGTCCTAGTTCCAGGACAGCGGTACCAGTTCGGTAAACATGCAAACGTGTCTACGAAGGAACCTGAAATTTTGGAAGAACAATATTATACAAGAGATTAACAGAGTATTTAGTTTGAAATGATGCAAGCAAGAATTCAACAACATTAAAACATAAACAATTGGCAATTAAAAAATAACGTGCAGTTTAACTAACTTTACTATTAATATATCAAAATTGTCATCATTCCAAACATTAAACTAACAGAAAACAAAATGCAATAAGAGTGGAAATAAAGGTTAACTTATTGTTTTGAAAACTTGTTTAACAACTATTATAAATTCTACTTTAAAAAAATAAGAAATCCAAGGCAAGTGCATTTTAGTGCTTTGCTTGCAAATTAGTGTGCAATTTGAAGCAATAAGCTAAACTACATATATAGTATCCCATCCTGAACCAAACTGGTACTAGTAGAACCACTATATAATGATATTTGTATTTAAGAAGATAGTGGCAACATAATGGAGACATTAAAGGTATCATAAAGAGGTTTTCTAAACTTAGTTATGTATCTAGGACATGGATAGCATTGATTTGTGGTTCTTGAAATGCCACTAAAAGTAAGCAATTTTATGACATCCCTATCTCAAAAGCTGATGATAATTTATTAGTGGCCTCATTTACCATCAAGTATTTAACAAAAAAAAACAGGAACCAAAGCAACTCAAAATTAAGAAAACAAACCTCTTTACAATCCCTTTCAACTTAAAAGTTAAATGAATTAATGGACAAGAATAATGTATGATAGAAATGATAAATGAATTATAATTAGAGAAATGATAATTAAAATGAAGATGATGATGATATAAGATTAAGTATAAGTATATCATAAATACTGATTGAATCGCTTTGTATCATTCCAATTTTCACTCAGAAGTCTGTGGATCTTGCAATTTAACAGAAACAAAGCATTTATGGTGTCACTTTTGTAAATTAATGAAATAACAGACACATTTTTTGATAATGAAGTCATGAAACCATTAGTTGTAGTGGAATTACAGGAACCACAGACGTTTTACATAACATTTGAATGGTGCAAATTGGTATTATTAGTGTTCTTGATATACAAGTAAAGATAAATAAATGATGAATGAATTAAAATTACAGAAATGAATATTAAAACTAAAATGACAACAATGAGCTATACTGTAGCAGTTTAGAACCCCCAATATACAACATATAATTAGATGTTAATTTATGTTAATATATTCATAAAGCTGAAAAGTAAATTGAAGATACAACATAGAAAGCAACCAAAAAAATGACCACTACATAAATTACTTAAATTATACAGCCAGTTATTAGACATTTAGTAAAAGTTGCCTCAAACTCATATGTGAATGTAAACTTTCATTATTTGAATGAAAACCTAAACCATTAGAAAGTCAAAACCTAAACCTTTAGAAAGTCAAAACCTAAACCTTAACACAGTTGAAACCTTCATAAAGTCAAAACCTAAACCGTTATAAAGTCAAACTTTATAAAGTCAAAACCTTTATAAAGTCAAAATCTAAACCTTTAGAATCTCAAAACCTAAACCTTTACAAAGTCAAAACCTAAACCTTTATAAAGTTAAACCCTAACCCTTAAAATAGTTAAAACCTAAACCTTTATAAAGTTAAACGCTAACCCTTAAAATAGTTAAAACCTAAACCTTTGAGAAGTCAAAACCCAAACCTTTAGAATGTCAAAACCTAAACCTTTACAAAGTCAAAACTTAAACCTTTACAAAGTCAAAACCTAAACCTTTAGAATGTCAAAACCTAAACCTTTACAAAGTCAAAACCTAAACCTTTATAAAGTTAAACCCTAACCCTTAAAATAGTTAAAACATAAACCTTTGAGAAGTCAAAACTCAAAACTTTGATAAGTCAAAACCTAAACCTTTATATAGTCAAAACCTAACACTTTATAAAGTCAAAACCTAAAGCTTTATATAGTCAAAACCTAAACCTTTGTTAAGTCTAAACCTATACCTTTATTAAGTCTAAACCTGAACCTTAAAACATTTAAACCTAAACCTTTGTAAAGTCAAAACCTAAGGCTTTAGAAAGTCAAAACCTAAACCTTAAAACAGTTAAAACCTAAACCTTTATAAAGTCAAAACCTAAACCTTTATTAAGTCTAAACCTAAACCTTTATCAAGTCTAAACTTTTACCTTTGTAAAGTCAAAACCTAAAAATTTATAAAGTCAAAACCTAAACCTTTACCTTTATAAAGTCAAAACCTAAACTTTTAAAAAGTCAAAACCTGAATCTTTATAAAGTCAAAACCTAAACCTTTATAAAGTAATAACTTAACACTTTATAAGCCTTAAAACCTTAATGTAAAATAATTCCTTAAATAATTACCAGCCTAGATAAATTGGAATGGTAAAATTGATGCTATCAGACTCCATGATGCACTTGAAAAATATTTTTCACTGAAGAAAAACCTCTTTAAGAACTTCAGAAAAACCACAACATTCTCATCATAATACCAAGTTATGTACAGAAAAAATGAAGCCAAGTATATATAAATGAACAATTTAGTCCTAAATGGAAATACTTTGTTAAATAATATTATTCCTATCTACTCTAAATGTCTAGTCTTGGCTTAAGGCAACTTTTGATGTTATGAAAGCAGTTGATGTCTAGCAGAGTGATATGACAGCTGATTAAAAAGCGTTGAATGCCAGACAGACAAGGCTGAAGGCTGGTAATTCATCAAAAACAACATCCAAAACTTGAAGGGTTAATCATGCTATAATTGTTTGATTTTTACCGTGACAAGAATTTCCAATCACCTCCCCAAGGATTGTTGATTTCACTGAACAATGATTTTGGATTTAGAAACAAAATAAACAAACAACCATACTTTACAAGAGTAACAATTTAGGTTCTCGAATATCCGGTCTACAACTGATCCTTGGCCAATCCTCTTGGCATTGATCTCTCTAGATTATCTGTACCCATTTACAGGTGGAATGACTGGAATAATGAGTGAAGATGACTTTTTCAGTCATCAGATTTCTCTCTCGCGGACCAAGATTAGAATTCACGACCACCATTAGGTTGGTGTGACCAATCAAACGATGTCAAAATGCCATCCTGCTTTTTGACAGTCATACATTTTCAATGAAACACATTAAAAATATCCGTGCTGACTACCCCAAGGGTAAACAGGTATTCATATGACAAAAATTCAAGTTTGGATGTTGTTTTTGTAAGCAGACGACAGAAAAGAACATACACACCTCTGTACTTTTTTTTCCCTTTTTTATGATTTTTACCTGATATGACAACGTAAATGTAAACATATTGAAAATAAAAATTCAGAAATTAAAATTTAACAGTGCTATACCCAAAACATTAACAAAACATGTTGCTGAAATGAATATTTCTAACATTAAAATATAATACTATAAAAATATTTGCACGATTATGTTTTTTAAAAATTAAAAAACCCTTTTAGAATATGAAAAGAGGCGAACATGCTGGAAACACACAAACTAAACAAGGGAGATCTAAAAACTGTAAATTTTGCTGAAATAAAGAAGTCAAATCAAGCACAAGATAACAGATAACAGGCAGACACACTCAGACATTTTTTTGATAAATTGTCAATATAGAAGAAACTGAAAATCATAAAAATCATTATCATTTTTGTCTTCATCAAGACATGCAAGATGGAGGGAGCTAGAACAAGATTCAGATCTCATTGGCAAAAACAAGATTCAGATCTCATGGGCAAGAACAAGATTCAGATCTCATTGGCAAAAACAAGATTCAGATCTCATGGGCAAGAACAAGATTCAGATCTCATGGGCTAAAACAAGATTCAGATCTCATGGGCTAGAACAAGATTCAGATCTCATGGGCTAGAACAAGATTCAGATCTCATGGGCAAAAACAAGATTCAGATCTCAAAGGCAAAAACAAGATTCAGATCTCATGGGCAAGAACAAGATTCAGATCTCATGGGCTAAAACAAGATTCAGATCTCATGGGCTAGAACAAGATTAAGATCTCATGGGCTAGAACAAGATTCAGATCTCATGGGCTAGAACAAGATTCAGATCCCATGGGCTAGAACAAGATTAAGATCTCATTGGTAAAAACAAGATTAAGATCTCATAGGCTAAAACAAGATTAAGATCTCATGGGCTAGAACAAGATTCAGATCTCATGGGCAAGAACAAGATTAAGCTCTCATGGGCTAGAACAAGTTTCAGATCTCATGGGTTAAAACAAGATTAAGATCTCATTGGTAAAAATAAGATTAAGATCTCATGGGCTAAAACAAGATTAAGATCTCACGGGCAAGAACAAGATTCAGACTCATGGGCTAAAACAAGATTCAGATCTGATGGGCTAGAACAAGATAAAGATCTCATGGGCAAGAACAAGATTCAGATCTCATGGGCAAGAACAAGATTCAGATCTCATGGGCAAGAACAAGATTCAGATCTCATGGGCTAAAACAAGATTCAGATCTTATAGGCTAAAACAAGATTCAGATCTCATGGGCTAGAACAAGATTCAGATCTCATGGGCAAGAACAAGATAAAGATCTCATGGGCAAGAACAAGATTCAGATGTCATAGGCAAAAACAAGATTAAGATCTCATGGGCAAGAACAAGATTCAGATCCCATGGGCTAGAACAAGATTAAGATCTCATGGGCTAGAACAAGATTCAGATCTCATGGGCTAGAACAAGATTAAGATCTCATGGGCTAGAACAAAATTCAGATCTCATGGGCTAGAACAAGATAAAGATCTCATGGGCAAGAATAAGATTCAGATCTCATGGGCTAGAACAAGATTAAGATCTCATGGGCTAGAACAAGATTCAGATCTCATGGGCTAGAACAAGATTCAGATCTCATGGGCAAGAACAAGATTCAGATTTCATGCAAACTATACTAATTTCTCACTTTCATTCAATAAACCTGCAAATGAAAATTACAGTTAAAAATGTCCTGAAATTTATTTCTTTTTGACTGCCAGCCTGGAAAACTTTTAGTCAAGATATTTAGAGTATTGTAAGAAGTCATTAATTACCTTTAGATAAAAAATCCTATTTTATGTACATAATGGTCAATAATCAATGAATACTGTATATCTGCATGTATAATACACAGTTTTTTACTCTAAGGGACTTGTCAAACTGAGAGTGGGAATTATACACAGTAATTATAAAATAAACACTTGAACACTGACAAACTGATTTGACAACCAAAATCTGGAAAAAAGCTAGATCCAAATGGAAACTTTAATATAGTCCATAAATAGAATCACAAATATGCAGAATGGGGTCAATAATTTAAAGAGGTTTCTATACTTCTTGTGGTTATTGGAGACACTGATAGCAACTATTTTGATGTCTGTTATGAAGTTTGATGTCTATTGACAGAACCACAGCTATCTGACTGCTAATTAGAATAGAATTAATCATTGCTATCAGGGCCCTAATACACATAAAAAGTTCAGAAAAAACTCTTTACAATCTCTTTAAGACTTGGCAGTCAATAAACTGTATGTGTAGGATAAAATTAAAAATATTTGAATACATACATGTCTCATGTAATTCATCAGAACCATCATCACAATCATGTTCCCCATCACACAACCAACCATTAGGTACACATCTTGCTGCTCCCAATTTACATTGGAATTGATTGGAGGGACAGGTAGGAATGCCTGGATAAAATCAATTTAAGGTGTTCAAAAAACTTAACTTTAGCATTTTGACAGAACTGTTGTCTGAAGCTTCAGGGTTGATAACTTATATAAGAGTTATTTCCCTTCTACTACATATTCAATCCCCCACAATAATCAGGTTTCAGTGTGCAACATGGCCTCACTCTATTGTCCCATCCGAACGACTAGGTGCTTTATCCATGTGAGTTGCAATTGACAAGGGGAAACCAGGTTGAAAATCTGAAGGTATTATATCGACTGGGATTGAACTTATGGTTATCAGGTTAGCGTCTAGGCCTAACTTACTGAGCAACTGTGGCTACCTTTAGTTACAGAAAAATGATGTCAGATCATGGTTGCTGATAGTATAGGAGAGGTCGGTCATGATGTTATAGAGGTGGTTTGTGTATCACATGATGCACAACTTTAACAGTGATAAGAATGGTTTGTCCTACCAATTGTCTTACTCAAGTTATGCATGTGTTCTATTTTTAGCAATATCGTGGCTAAAAAGATTTATCCTATTGGTCAACATCTTTTAATGTCCAAAGAAAATACAAGATACTTACTGCAATCTTCATGTTCATCTTCACCACCAGGACAATCAGCATCGGAATCACATTCCCAGTTTTTAGGTATACAGTAGGAACCAGGTGAGATTGCTTCTTTACAGCGGAATGTATCACTTGAACATGCCTTGTCTTCTACAAAATATAAAATATCATAGAATTATTTATTATAGAGACCATTAACAACCATGCCCCCTTATTAATAACAGTTCACTTAATCTGAATAGTATAGTATGAGGTAACAAATTTATGAGGATATTCACAAAATATTATCAATAAATATATGTGGCACTTCATCCACATTACCTTGTAAGAGGTGGTGAGTTTTAATCAATCTACCATTTTCATACAAGAAAGGTTACATATGATATTCACAAGTTTTGTGTGTTTTATTCTACATATATTATATTCCTGATGATGGTACAGTGTGAGAACCACATTGAAACGTTGAAAGTACTAGAAGTATTTAACTATAATAATTGTTTTATTTACAGGAGAAATATGTTCAAACTTCAGAGTTTATATAGAGATTTGTTACATTTCCTCATTATTCCAGTTGAACCAGCTGTAAATTGATACAGATAATCAGTTTCTTTAAAACTGTAGACAATGTGATTCTAGCTGGATTTGAAATTGTATGATCTTTTAACAATTTGGAGGTTAATGTCAGGTCACAGACCAGGACACTAGAAGGGTGTGGTGACATTGAAGATATATACAGATAATATACAGATAATATTAAACAATAACATGTTTTAATGAGTGTCTTACATGTCTCATGATAACAAAACAGACATACCAACTTTATTTGACATTCTTAAAATAATGGTCTATTTACAAGGTTAATAGAATATAAACTTTATGAAATCTCATTATAATTGAGTATAATTATATTCATTCTGTATATACGAGGGAATAAACAAGGTCTGGTGTGATGTACTGTGCAGAATTATCAATTCCAATTTTCACCATTTTCTAAAATTATGCATTCATAGAGCATAAAGGTGAGAATTGGTGGTTTTATTTACTGCTCAAGATAATCCTGTACTCTCCACCTTCAGTCAAACACATGAGTAAAAGTTTACCAATAAATCTGTATAAAATGTAGAAATCTGTTGAAATTACATTCCCCTGTTTAATGTCTGTGGTTTGTGTAATTCCACAACAAAACATTTTATGACATAACTACAGCAAGAGACTCTTTCAATAGTGACAACAAATATAACATTCAGCATTTCTATAATTACAGGAATCACAGACATCTGATGTAAACATTGGAATGAATAAATGGCCATTATAAACATAAAAAGATAAAAAAAAATCCTTTTTACAATCCCTTTAACTTAATAAAAAATAACTAAATCTCAATCAGGATTTAATAAGTGATATTTCAACAACAATTCTGTCACTTCTTACAAATATTGATTTTTTGAATAATAGAAATTTTATATAAAATATCTGTCATCTCTAACTTTAAATAACTGTCAGAACTGCAGACAAAAAAACTTTTAATTCCACTGCCATGCTTCCTGTGAAGATCTTTGATTAATGTAAAAGTCTGAAATTCTGCTAGTTTGGTGCCATATACATAGAGACTGTCATTCAAATTAGATTCATTATCAGGAATTCATTGTTAAAAAATAAAATGCTACTAAGAGGCATTACAAATGGGGTTATTAGGGCAGTAAGAAGGAAATGAAGAAAAGAAATAAACAACCCTTTTTTTCAAGAATACCAACTAAAGTTCACGAGGATCCTCCCTACCACCTGATTCTTGGCCAAATTGTTTGACATTGAACTTTCCTGGATTTTACTTGCCCATTTATAGGTGGATGGAGTGGAATAATGAGGAAAGATTTAAAGTCACCAAACATGCTGACTGAGATTAGAAACCATGACCACCATTTGTTTGATGTAACCTTGCCATGAAGTCATTTTCCAAGATTTCAACACTCCAACAGACTGTGCTACATCCCATCCTAAAAAACCAACAAGCAACAAGAAATATCTGACATTTTTAATATAGTTTCTTTATCTGTAAAGAAATGGCTGGTAATACAACACAGAACCCAAATTATTCCTTTCAGTTTTAAAGTCATGTTTTAAAAGAATAAGTTAGTCAATGATGATTTTTAAATTGAGAGTTGTTATAAGAATATAAAGTAGATCTATTCTCAGGACCTATATAATAATCAGAGACATGTGAAAGTAATATCAAACAAAAACATGGACAACAAGTTGTTTTTATTTCTACAACAGGTTAAAATGGTTGACCTTTTAAACAACTATTGAATTTAAATTTAAAATGTTGCCCGATTTTAATCATGTGACCTTCAAATCAAACAAATCGTAATTCAAATACAACGTTCTTAACAACCACAGCTCATTCAACACTACGCATATCAGCTGACCTTGACCTTTCTAAGTACAAACACAGAACAACTACGACTGAATTTGTCACTGGTGAACAAATCGTGTGTTTTTGTTAGTTTAATTTATTTTATCAAATCTGGGTCAGATTTAAGCAAATATATTATTTCATTGACATTTTCAATCATTCATTTTGAGGACGGGTTGTGGAACAGTTAGTTAGAGTGTTGGAATCTTCACATGACATCATTTACTTGTTTACATTGAACAAATGTTTGTGGTGGGTTCTAATCATGATCAGCGTTTGAAAGTCTTGTAGCCTTGAATATGTTATTATTTCCCATTATTTCAGTCAACCCATCTATAAATGGTACAGATAATGGGGGAAAGATCAATACCAAGAGGTTGGGCAATAGCAAGGACCAGCTGGGTGGAAGAATCCTGATTAATCCTTGTAAAAAATGACAAGTGGTTTTTCTTCCCTTTTCTGATAAAAAATTGGAATCATGCAAAGCTATAAAAGGCCCCAGATACACATAAAAATGTTAATGAAAACCTTACAAAATAACATACAGGTACATAACTCTATCAAACACTACGCTTTGTTTAAAAACCTAAAAGTGTGTATGTGTTTAATCTGGTGAATGTGTTGTTAAGATAAGATGTGTTGTTAAGATAAGATGTGTTGTTAAGATAAGATGTGTTGTTAAGACAAGATGTGTTGTTAAGATAAGATGTTAAAATAAGATTTGTTAAGACAAGATGTGTTGTTAAGATAAGATGTGTTGTTAAGATAAGATGTGTTGTTAAGATAAGATGTGTTGTTAAGATAAGATATGTTGTTAAGACAAGATGTGTTGTTAAGATAAGATGTGTTGTTAAGATAAGATATGTTGTTAAGACAAGATGTGTTGTTAAGACAAGATGTTAAAATAAGATTTGTTAAGACAAGATGTGTTGTTAAGATAAGATGTGTTGTTAAGATAAGATGTGTTGTTAAGATAAGATATGTTGTTAAGACAAGATGTGTTGTTAAGACAAGATGTTAAAATAAGATTTGTTAAGACAAGATGTTAAGACAAGATGTTAAGACAAGATGTTAAGACAAGATGTGTTGTTAAGACAAGACGTTAAGATAAGATTTGTTAAGATAAGATGTGTTGTTATGGTATGTAGAAACATAAAGACATCATTAAATAACAATAAAACTCTGACCTGTATTGTTTACTAATTAATATCTCTACTCAAGTATAATAGTACTCATACCAGTCAGATTTAAAATATAAACAGATAACTGTATTTGTAGGTAGAATAAATAGTAATAGAAACTATACAGACTAAATTTATAATATGATGATTGCTACTTAAAAGAGCATTATGTGTTTTAAAGAAATTTGTCCCTTGTAAAAATAAAAAATTCAGTCGCAATTTGTCAACACCAAAACTATTTAAAAAGTTTACATAAGTATTTATTCCCTTTAGAAAAATAGTGTGCAGTTTATTTTGAACAAATATGATTTTACATGTTTTTGTCCAAAATATATGTTAGAATGAACAAAATTCATTCAATATTTTGATTTTTTTTTGGGAGAACAAATCTGACTCTCAATGAGAGTTGCTGCATATGGAAATCAGCCTTGATAGTTGCCCCCCAATTGAGTCTGTCTGATCCCCTGTTTGTACTCTCAGTTTGTGGAGGCTGTTGGCACCACTGTCAGTATCTCATCAATATATATAACGAAAACAACTCTTAAAATTATCTGGCATATGTAATTTTGGGGGGCCAGTAGTGTGATTGTTATATCTGTATATTTATCAGTTATAGTTAAGATATCTAATGAATTAGATTGTTAACATCCGTTTTATAATAGTTATAATTTATCAGGCTAGATAATCTTATAAAATTAATATCACTTCATCTTTTATCATATATCATATTATATATAGAAAGGTCACACATTACTGTTCATATTCTAAATATTCTACTCTCTGAATATATTATTTTTAAAAGTAATATATCATGTCTTTACTGTAAGGGGATTTCTAAATTCTTGTGTATCAGGAACCAATGGTGTATTTAAAGGTGCAGACACACGAGCAGTCTTGGTCGGAGACTTTTGTCGCCAATTAGAGTCTTGTCTTGAGTTTAAATGACTGGCACCACCTTGTTGATAATCACATGGGAGCATGCAATTGAAAGGAAAAGGAATCTGATTGGATGATGATGGTATGTTATGATGATGATAAAACTATCGGAGACAAATATCTTGTTAAATACTAAAAAATTCTGTAGGCGACACTATAATCAAGAGATTTTACTCAAGATTTGAGTCAGAAACAAAAATCTTCGACCAAGATCTCTCTTGTGCCCGCACCTTAAGGGGTGAGCCATTGGGCTATAGTCTCCCTCTAAGGCCTGTGAATGATGTTATTTAGAAGTGAATATTAAGCCTTCTAAAGGATCAAAATTCATCTCAGACCATTCGAAATTTGTTGCCATCATGGTTGGGGCCTTCAGCACTTTGAACCTCGATAGTTACGCCATTGTCAGGACACTGATAGCATTTATTAACATTATTCTAATTTTCACTCAGACATTTCTGGTTGTTGCGATTCAAATTAAACTAAGTGTTTATGACATCACTATCTATTTTTAAAAAGATTAATAGAAGAATATGAAGTGATCATTATTTCTGAATTTTAAAGTGTTTTTGAAATCAATAATAGAGAAATTACTGATGATTAGTTGAATGAATATTGTAG